TACAACGTTGAGATGATCCGACCTATGATCCGATCTAAGTATTTCTTCCACTACCACATTATTTAATAGACTAAGTGTGATATGAATTTTCAAATGGAGCTTATGTGCAATCAATACGACGTAAAGGCACGTAGGACAAGTCAAAGTTTTAGTGGCGCGGGTGCACACCATCTTATCACATATGCAACCCTTGGTCTCAACTGACTGAAGATTTCAGGATCGTCCAACAAATCACGGGTCCCGCTTGATTTTTAGTGGGTCCATCCGAGAACGGACGCCTTATGCGCTCATAATAGGGGTGCAAAGGCGCAATTCTTTTGTATATCTCAGAGGAGATGTGCGCTCTCAAATAATATGATTAGTGAGTAAGACCCGTCTATGAACACGATTCGAATTGCTGACATAAATTTATCAATTTTCGCTCCATTTCAACATTGCATGCCTGCTTCTCTAGAAAATCGTCGCAGTTTTTACCGCGCACCGGTTTGGGATCTTTTCTTAAATTTAATGCGAGATGCAGTAAATTGTATCGATCCAAGCCTTACGTACAGCACATTCAACATTGTGGAGGATGCATTCCAAGCTTAGTACAATGCGTGGCCATATATAATTTGATACCCGTTGTACCATCGATGACTAAAGAAGACGTCGATGCAAAAGTCATGTATAAACATGACTAAACTTGCTCGCTGTGAAGTCAAGTCTATTCTACCCTGATGAAATAGAATATCAGATACAACCCGATTGGTGGTAGTTCCAGTCAACGACAAAAATTGCGTAGTAGTCGGCACGATGGATATTCCTAAAAATATCCAAGCAGTATACTGCGGTACTTTTTCTACTGCGCTTATCAATAAAATTACCGGCACCACGATCGTTGCTACTACTGTTATTTCGACGACTACGGCAACTTACATGAAAAGTGTCAAGCACTCGTGTACACCAGAGCCATCAATGCACTCACTCACTCCGGGGCGCGTGAGTTTGATCCGCCGATTCTAAACTCGAGTTCTTTGGATCCTGAAAGACCTAAAAATCTATATGACTCGGTCTCATATAGCTATCGACGAAGTCGAGGCTTTCATGTTGTCACTTCCGCACAAGATCTAACGGGCGACATAAGTCGAATTACGCATTCGAATCTCCACAGTAGATGACCTTCGAATCGGTTTCATCACCCTCCTTTGATTTTGGACTCAATGTAGACATTGCGGGCGATAAAGATGCACGTGGTCGCATGTTGATCTGCTCCGCATGGACTTGTTTTAATATGCGACGGGAGGCGAATCGCTTTGCTGAGACCACAAGTTATCCTTTTCATAGAGTGAATAAAGGCGGTCACTCTGTCACCAATCAGGTGTCAAATAGTCAAAATGGGACTGATGTTTGATGAGGGTGATCTTATATGCCGAGCCCATTTGCATGTCATGGACATAGAATTGGAAAATTGAGGTTGATAACATATTAATTGATAATATCCTCTAATGGTTTTTTCAACGTACATTCTTAAATTAGATCACCGTTTAAATCAATAGCCGGGCCCGTTTCACCTATTGGTTTATCGGACATGATATCAACCAACTGAACCACCTGTCACTTCTAGACGTCGCATTGGCTGATTAGAGAGTCGCTACATCGGAAAATTAGTTTTTGTAGTCAAAGAAATGTCAAAAGGACTATTTTAAAAGACCTTAAGTACATATAACACAATTCTACTTTTTCTTCTTTCAAACATTGTCGTTGAAAGACTTGCATATTCTAATGCAGGTACCTTGTACATGAAGTTTGGAAGCATCTGCCTACACTTTAAAGTTATCGTTTCAAAATGTTGCCAAGCAGGTGAAGGTACGACGTAAGACATCAAGAATCCGACAAAAAAGCATGACAGGACAAGAATCAAGATATTGAGAACGACCGAGAGCATTCTATTGGTATTGTATTAGGTGTGGTAATCTTGATTACATGGTGTTGACATCAAAAGTGAGTATGAACAATATCTTCATCTCAGGCGGTATTATTTTCCATTATATACTTGGCGGACGAAATGCTGAATTTGAATATGAACTTGACAGGTAGTATGTTCAGGTGCGCTTTAGCCTCCAGTTCTTTGTTGCAACTCGCGCCAAATTCAAGCGGGTGCCTCGCTTTTACGGTGAGTAGACAGCGAGCGAACAGCTACACGTAAATTTGCCATGGAAACAGAGCAGTGAACTGCAACCTTCTGCTTTCATCCAAGCCGTGATTGCGCCCAGTCGATGCTTGTCGAAAAAAGCGGTCATACAGTACAGCTTCTACTTCGAGCTGACCAATTCTTTCGTCAAGAGCTCGACCTATTACCGTCACGAGTAGTTCACAAACACTAGACAATTAGTTACGCGGCGAGTCGATCCGCCAACTTGGTAGCAGGGTGTCCACTAAGACCACTGAATGGCTCACAACGTGACATGTGAACATCTGGATCGAATTGGTGATCATACAAGTCTCGTGAATTTACTCATACGCTACTTCCTGGATTGTCGCTTAGCTAGACCTATCTGGAGGAGACGAGGCACGTACATTGATCAAGTGTGGCCCTGGCGCCAAGCGCGAGTAAGATAAATGAGTGTACAAGACGAAGCGGCGTGGAGGAGGCGTTGAGAAGTCAAAGACGTGCACCATCGCGTGCTGACACGAGCACATGCTTAGGATCGATGTTGTACACACGTTTGCTGCGGTATCGGAAACCGGAACAAGCAAAGCGATCCTCGTGCTGTTGGTAGCGGGACATGCTAAGACCTGCGTCAACGCTCTGACTAGGGAGGAGCAAGACATCTTGCTTTTTACGCCCCCGTTGGCATGAAGGTGTCAGCGGATCAGCTGCGAAGGATAGGCGGGTCAAGCGCGGAGCAGCTTGCATTGCGACTCGATGAGAAGCTTGCGTAGACGCGAACAAGCTGGTCGCTTTTATCACCACCTGCTCAGAACGGCTCTGCTTAACATGGGATGCGATCAATGTATTACAAACGCGTGCATGTGTTTGACAACGTGGACTCAGACAGACTCCTGTAGCTGGGACTTCCGTCGACAATTTGCTAGTGAGTGAGGTCAGTCCGAATCGCGCCACAGCGTTCTTGCTGACATGTAGGCGTGCAAGAGCCGAAGGGTCGAGGAGAGAAAGACGTACCTTTCGGCGTACAAGTCGAGCTAGACGAAGCAAGCTACGCCCTGCACGACCTCGACTACAGAGTCACAGCGTGTCGCTGCTACTACAGGAGAGGAGGCGTTCGATGTTAAGGAGGCGTTTGATGTACAGGACCTCTTCCGTGGCTATAATTGATCCTGCAGAATATGTACAACAGGTAACAATTTGAATCGAGGGTTAGATCGACCAGTGCGGGGCAAGCGGACACGAAGGTGCAGCAATTTTGCCTCATATCGCCGCTGAGAGTATCGTCAAGCCGACATTCGCAACTTTTGTACACCAATGTACGCTAGCTGAATCGTGGAGAAGACGCCGCCAGCTCTATGGGCGCTTACTTGTCAAGGTGGGACTAAAGTGAATGTAGGTGTCGGTGAGTTGACTCTCTCCTGAGTCAGAAGGAAGCATAAGGATCTCGTGTGGTGCTGTCTGACTGGGCAAACCCTGGAAGCATTCGCGTGCTGGATTGCGCACGCATGGCGTCGACAAGGCACCAACACGAAGTAGAATCGTCCGCTAGCGTTGACACTGCAGTGCGTCGTTGAGCGATTCAAATACCATTTGACTCGGCAATATTCTCGGGAAATGAGCGCGTCCGTCCTTCGACAGTTGCAGTTATCCCGGCTACTCACTGCTCCTCCGGACACAATGTGCAAACAAAGGTCGCTGGTGTCCTGCTGTATCTTTATCCTCCTTTCCTTCTCTTCGTAGTCGTCATCAAATGGCATGTGTCATGTTACCATCTACGGTGCTTGGTCGGAGCTGGTCAAAGATTAATCAAGAGGGCGGGCCATCCTCTACTTGTATTTTACGTGCACTAGCCGACAAACCATAGTATATATGGCAAAAGCATTTTATAGGCACCCGATCATGCTGCAAGGAGTTAGCTGAACTATCTACTGCCATAGCATTACACTGCCCATTTCAGATAATAACTTACAATTTAGCAGTCACAGAACGAGATTAGTAGATGCCTCATCCAGCAGTTATCTACCTGAGGTGATGATAGCTTTACAAACGACAACTTGTCGGACGGACTTTGCAGTTCACTGGAAGAAAGTTTAGTAGGCCCACGGTTTATAGTAAAAGAGCTTACGGAAGTGGCATATACAACACTGCCTCCACGTCGATGCAAGTCCGTACAGACTAATCAAATGCCGGCATTGACTCAATCATTCAGCCTATGCGGTCGTACGACCCGTGATTGTGTCCCGATCCAAACCACTAGTCCCTTTGACACAAGCGTTTGTGTTTTGCCTCGTGGTCAGCAAATTCACACAGCTCTATCGAACCCTCTAAAAAGATCACAGTACCACTTGCGCTTCGTGCACGATTGGTGCACACATGATGTTTCGGGTATGAGTTTCCAACACGGCCATGTTTACTTGCTCTGGTACAATACACCTCGTTCTTGAGTTGCGTTCTTGTCTCTTTCTTCGTCCACAAGTTGTCACTACAGCATGAAAACGATCTTAGCCGACCACGAAGGGTCGTCCGTATACGACCATCAATGTAGACAGTGCGTATGCTGGCATTGGCGACCGAACGTGATGCCGTTGCAACCTTGCTGGACAACTATCAGCCACCATTTGGCTCGCCATCTTGTTCAGTACAACGTGTAGAGATGCAACAACGCGTAGAGCTCTTGCACACCCGCAGATTCGACCATCTGACTATCGTTGCTGCGACATCGGGGCACAACGACAGCAGAATAGCTCCGCCCCATGGTAACGACCACAGTGCGTCCTCGCGCAGTACAGCAAGACACGGCGGATCGAGGTCCATACATATCTCGTCGATTCACAACTAAAATTGTTCTTGTCTATGTGACAGGTCCAATGAATCCTGCTTGCCGCAAAAAGCCAGCCAGCGCCTGTTTTTCTGCGTCTTGAAAGTTCTTGTTGTGGCCGCAATGCAGGGGTAAGAGGCAACCCAACCTGGCATCTTCCGTGTTGATCAACAACGGTATGATCGTCTTTCTCTGCTCTGCAGCGGCCCTTGTATCAGTTTTCTTGTCATTTTGCACCGCCTCGCTTTCTACACCACGTTCCTCACTTGTCGATGTATCCAAGTGACGCCACCTTCGCTGCAACGCGTCATTGAGGTACTCGACCATAAGCATCACAAAACCAATGTCGTAGTCATACTTGAGAGACGGATGCTGCTCCGCAAGATGTTGCAGCACGGCGTGTACCTCGGCAATCGTGATTGGCACAATCAGGATTCCATTTCGTTCAAAAGGCTCCAACGTACGCTCTTTTCTGCGTTCAGGAGCCACGTGACCGCCCCATGTCAGAAGCGAAGCGGTCCAGGCACGGATCTTGTCGTGTCCACCGTTCTCTGCAGCCTGGAGAAGAACCTGACCACAGTATCCGTCCAAACGAGCGAGCTGCATCCAAATAACCGGCAGAAGCTCGCCCGGGAAGCCGGCAGTCGACGCAACTGGGACAGGTGCTTCAACTTCGTCTGCAGGAAGCATTGGCTGCGTCTCGGAGATCGCGGCATGTTCTTCAGACTTTGCAGCTTCAGCATCGTCCACGACAATCGCTACATCACTGAAGCCAACCACAGCATCAGACGTGTTGCCAGACGTTTCTGATTCTTCGAGCGCATCACTTCTATGCCCTCCAGCTTGTTCATTACCGCGACCGGTAGCACATTCTAGCGCACGTCCGCCCACAGATAAGACAGCTTCGCTAAAGCGAATCACCATGCTGTCGGTCAACGGCTGTCCCATCAGCGGACGACTCGCAGCTTCACTCACAGGGCGGGAACTGCGGAGACTACACATACCAATTTTGCTCATGATGTTCGCAGGCGGCACCGGCGAAGTGAGCGATCCGCCAGGTATGGGCTGGCGAGGCAAATCAAACGTCTTGTCGTTCAGCTCAAGGCGCAGCGCAACGCCAGACTTGAGCGAAGCTCCATCCAGTATAATCTCATCTGACGGATCTGAACATAACAGTTTCGCACAGGTTGCGTCCAAGTACTTCTGCACATTGTCCGTGTCCCAGCGCATGACCCAGTCGACCAGAGTTCCAGCCCACCTTGCAATCATACGCTGAGCAAGCGCCGGCACGGTGGCAAAGGTGCGGTCAGCGATGAGCACGTTCACGTGAGGTGACATGGATGCCACATACGTGGCGACAAGGCCACCAAGCGACTCACCGTGGACTGCAATTTGTCCAAACCCACGCTCCGTTTTTAGGTAACTGACAATGGCCAGTCCGTCAAAGTTATGCATCGCAGGAGACGGCGAACCCTTGCAGCGCCCGTACCCGCGGTAGTTGTACACGAGAACATGGCAGTCTAAGTGCGCAGTGTAGAACCTGATCCAGTCCATATGTAAGTGGTGGAACTCGTACAAACCGCCGTTTGGGTTGCATAGCATGACAACAGGGCGGGCAACAGCATCACGACCCCTTGATGCGGGCGGCATCAACATTGCATCGATCTGATGACCTTGGTGACCTGGAATCCACATCTGCTCTGCTTTCTATGAGTGTGCAAACGACCACAGCAGCAAGCCCAGTTAGCACCAATGACGACAAGCAAGATCAGCAACTCCCACTCAAAACGTACGAAGCGCACGATCATATCAGCACGAAGCAGTTCGAGCGTAGCAATACAGTCGACCTCTGGAGATGATCCACGGCACAGCTCTCTTGCTATCCAAGCCACATTTCTGCTGGCAGCTGGCGCATCTGTCTTTAGCCTACCGATCAGCGTTATCGCCGTCTGTAGTCGTCGTACTGCCGTCGCAAACGCCACTAGTGGGTTGACAGCTTCGGCACATGTGGACTGTACAGCTGTTTCTACTACCTGTGATGCTAAGTCGATGATCGTTGACTGTTGCCGCACAGTGTTGGGGACGTCTCCAAACAGCTTGCTCGGGGATTTCTCCAAAGCCTCCACCGACAGTGACTCAGCCACTTTCTGCTCGGTGAACATCTTACACCTCTGCAGCTCAAACGTCTTTTCCGATGCTGAGCACAGCTTTGAACAGGGCTCGGACAGCCTCTGCGAGTTCAGCGTAACAATATCCTGTAGAGCGCTCAGCAAGGTTTCCCCATTCAAACCCAGCTGTCCATCGCGTTCCACGATCTCCAGCGACTCCATCACTGGCAATGCCATCGTTTCCAAAGCAAACGTAAAGCTCTGATGGACCTGCAAAAAGCGCAGTCTTGTTGGTCTATTGCTGCTGAGAGGGTCCAGCACTGCCACGAGCTCCAACGCTGCCTCAGTGAAAACCTGAAGACGTTGTTTGGTCAGCCGAGCGAAAGTCGCTTCGCCTTCTCGAATCACGAGCTTCAGTTGGCCAGGGTAAGTCATCAGCAATGCTACTCGTCGAACGGCAAGTACCGTGCCTAGCAGCAGTGCCACGAGCAGACCAGGGAGAGTCAACAAGTGCGCCAAGAAGCGTATCAGCCCTCCAAGAGTCACAAAGACAGTGTTCATAGCAACAAATGCCAGTAGCACTGGCACGGGATTCTGCATGACACACACCAACATCGACAAGGAGTTGTGGTCCCGTGTAGTGAGCATCAATTATGACAGGTCATCTCCGTGAAAAAATTGGCAGTGTGTTTTACCATGACAACAAGTCGCCAGGGCTGCCATATTTGATATGCCAACGACAGTGCTGGCTGCAGTTATCATCACATGCACGAAAACACTTCTGTTAGCACACAACACCGTGTGACAGGCACCTGGAACAGCGTCGGAGCACGTACCTGTTCCTTCCGTTCCTCTGTATCATCGTCAGGCCCTATCGTCTCGTCTTCGTGCGCGTTGCCGCACTGACAGTCCTGCGGCGTGAGCATCGACACGTCAGCGTCGGGCGGAGTGGCGCGAGAAGGATCAGTATGCGTTTCTGCAGGTGGAGTCATACCGAAAGCACAAGCGAAGCGACTTGGCGCTGCATCGAATACCGGTACATTTGTGTCGTCAAGTTGGTTTTTGACCGAGAGGTGTAGCCATGCGGTTCGACCAATCCAGGCTTACTTTCGACCGAAAGGGACACTCGAGCGTCGTTGGAAAAACGCTTCACATTTCGATGACCGACAAGTGCTCGTTGTTTAAATTAGTGACCTTGTTGCAAGGAAGGAATGGATCGTATTTGCCAGAAGTAGGCTTTCGTACTACACAAATGGTGACTAGAGCTATCACACACATGTGAGCATTGACCCGTCATTCGTCTGCCATTGACGAACGTTATACCTTTGCCACCTGCTTGTGATTCTTGGTACATTTTCAACACCAGATCAGAGTCTCCAAGTTTGCTTCCAAGCAAGTTGGACACGATCTGTCATCCAAACAAAGGTCGTGGAAAGCGTGTCCACATGGCAGCAATACCACGTCCAAGTTGCGGTTGTCTGTACCGAACAACAACGAGACGCAATGATCTTAGCCAGAACAACAAACAGCAACAGCAAACAACATCCACTCCAGCACGTACCATCTTGGACAAGCACCACTGGAAGCTCACAAGCTGCGCACGTGGAATCATGCAGTTGCACTTCACCTCCCCAGTCGCTATTCCGGTACTCGAAAGACCGACAAGCCATCGGCGCCGTACCTGATGCAGCAAGGCGCTTCTCACCAAGACGGTCGCTCGTCAGCGTACGCAGCAGCCTGTCGTTGTCGAATCCTACATCTTCAACCTGTCTCGATCGATGACTTGTCCTCTCATCACTATACTGCTTGCACTTGCTTTCCCACATCTCATACTGCTCTCGATCTAACGCTGGAACAAGCGCATCCATCTCAAGCTGCAGAACAGCAGCAAGCTGGGGCGCAAAAGACACTGAACTCGTGGCTGACACGTCTTCCTTATACGACGCCCACACGTTTGAGTCCACAATCTCCAGCATTTGCACGATTTCGTGCTTCTGGCGCTCGGTGAGCACATGTGTCTCAACAATGGTACAATACGTTTGCAGTGGTATGGCAGTAAACACCAAAGGAAATTGGCCAAGGAGGCGCATGCCATAGTCAAGATTTACACAGTTCAACAGTGCGTGAACGGTCGCAGAGCACAACGGCTCGTTGCGATTCTCACTGGACACGGACGCTTGAATCTGGTGTAAAATCTCGCACAGACATCTCTCGGACTGGTGTGGCAGTACTGCCACCCTAGCAAACAGTTCGTCGAACGCGAGCAGTTCCTCGCTCTTCGTAAGCAATGCCACTAGCTCAGACAGCTCAGCAAATCCTCGGTCAAACGCCGTCACATCGTGCAACGACAACATCGTCAACTCCAGGAGAGGAAGAAGCGCATTGTGTTCCGTGAACATGCTCCAGCACTTTGTGTGGTCGTAAACATACCGACTAGGTTGGCGGACAAGCGCCGCAATCCACTCAAGGCGGCCATGCCTTTCCTTGTGATCAAACAGGTCTCCCACCACGGCGCTGCCTGCGAAGCATAAGTCCAAACAGCGACTTACCACTTGTGCATCTTTGCCAGCTTCGTCGCCTTTTTTCTCAAGAAGCCGTACAAGATACCGAAGGTACCTGGATGTCTGGGCTACAGCGTTTGGTAGCATCATGTCATGCACACCATCTAGCTCTCCAACAAGTGCTTCCCAGTCGAGTTCAGTCCCAAACAGAGCTCGCTCGATGTTCCACGGATACAACACGGGGTACTCGCATACGCATATGTCAATTGTGTCTTGCGGACACTTCTTCAATAACAGGTCGAGTAGGTGGAGTAGCAGGCACAACGAGTCGTGCTCTTTTAGTGCCGCAATAGCCTTGTCAGCCTCCTCCTCTGAGATCCATTCCACAATCTCGTTACAAATGTCTGCCATGTCAGCGCTCGATACGACGTCGTCCAGCACAGTTGTCAGTGCCCCAGTGAATCGACGTAGATTGCAGACTTCAGCGGCTAGCTCCGGATTAATGTACACGCCGTACTTGCTAACAAAGGCCTCAGCTTCAGCTGCTGTGGCTAAGTAAGTCGGAAAGTCCTCTGCACCGTCGTCCCAATTGTAGCGCGGTTCCAGTACGAAAGCAATACCCATCTCACTTTCGTACAATCGATACACCTTGCCATGAGCTTCAGCTTTCGGGTTCACAGGATGGAGATGCAACTTCGATCCTGCGGCCCAGGCAGCAAAATATACCGATACTAACGCTCGCACCAAGTTCCAGTCTCCTCTTGTGAGCGGTAAGCCATCTCCGTCTACGAGCGCCTCGCCGCGGGCAAATCCACCCGATACCACCGCATTGGGGCGCATGCTATTATCTTCCATACAATCGTCGGCGTCATCATGTTGTGCAGTGGGGTCAAAGCAGTTCAACCACGCTTTTATTGTCGTCCGTACGAGAGCCATGTCACCCTGCAGCAAGTACGAACTCGTAAGGCAGGCGCACACTCGTGTGATCCCAGACGCCGGCCACAATCTTCGCGCGAGATGCTTTGTTTTTTCGGCTGTAGCAGAAGCCGCGTGGAGCTCTGATGTCAGTTCGCTCATATCGCGTCGAATGGTGGGTTCCAACTCTGACGATGCAGCGATCCGGCCACTAACTATACATCTGAACATGACCTCACAGCTCGGTGCTGCTCCAAAGTGTTTCTGAATCGCGCGCTGAGTGGCACGTACTTCGTCGGTAGACATCGATGCTCGTTGCACAAGGACCTGACGCGGTTTATCGATCGGGGTGCAGGTTTCGTCTGACGATGCTGCTACGACTGGCATTTGCGTGAGTGAACGCTCGACCGACTCCAATCCTTCTTTGCGCGGTAAAATCTTTTGTTCATCTTCTGCGTTATGTGTTTGCCTCCCCGCCTGCCCATCTGCTCCAACGAGCACGCACTCATCCACAGAGTCTCCATCTACTGCATTCTTTGGGAGGTTCAGTTGCTCACTAATCGGTAAGTTCGATGTATATTTGAGGTCCGAATCCCAAATATCCATCGCGATCGCTTCCAAAAGAACTTCGGTATCCACATTACTTTCATCCGCTTCTCCGATCGTAGACATAGCGATTCGCAACACGGAACATTCGTTTGCGTCAGCATCTAGTTTGTAGCGATGAGAGTGTCTTGGCTGAAGCAGGCGTGGGTCCGGGTCGATTACCAGCTCTTCATCACCAAAGTCGGGGAAAGCACTGAAAAGGCCCGACGCATCCGAGCGGCCGAATGGAGCTGTGATCCCAGATCCATCCATTAGGTGCGTGAGCATGCTACTACCTGGGATGAACGTCGAAAACGCCTTCACTGCTGCCGTCGACCCAACTCTTATTGTCGGCAAAAGATTCATGTTCATAGTACCTTCCTCACTTCGCAATTGCTCGGATCGCTTGACGTCCTCCATAATTTCTCCGATGTAGTTTTCACGAAGATCATCATCAAGTACAGCGTTTGCCGGTGGCAGTTCTGGAATATTCATCAGTCTAGCCTCCAAAACGGAACCATCGGGTGTACAAACACCCTTAGAGTACGACTGGGTAGACGGAGCAAGTACATCGAAGTACTCAATCGGCTTGTGCAAAGTGCTGCTCGTGGCCAACGTCACTTCCGTGTCCTGTGACTCATCCTGGTCGGCAAATAGACCAGACGAAGAGGCACTAGTCACTGCTATTGCTTGCTGCGGGCGCTGCTTGTAGATAACTTGCAAAGGCTCCAGATCCAGCTCATTCGTTGTTGGTAGAATACCTTGCACAGCCATCCTATACTCCTCTTCAAGCGCTTTTGTCTGCTCCATGAGCATCTTCAGGGCCTTTGTCAACTCTTCATGCTCCCCGGATCCGGTGTCAATTCTCTCAAGGTAAGCCAGCCACTGAGTATGCAGGGAATTCACGACGGCAGCGTCGTTGAAGTTGAACTCGACTGCAAGCTAAATCCCACAAGCATAGACTTTAGACCGCAACCAAACTTACTTATCGATATGACGCTCACCTCGACAGCCTTCTTGATATCGCCCGAGCCGTAAATCTGCAGAAACTGGTCAGCTGAACAGGACTGGATCAACGACACTTTCGGGACGTCGCCGTGAAGCACTACCAGCGTGGTCTCGTTTACGACCTGATCCGGACGTACACGGGGTCAGCACACGTGTACGCTTGCTTCACAGGAGAACCAACTTAGCAGTCTCGTACCCTCAAGTCGTGGATGGTACCTAGATCCAAGTGCCACTCGACGATTTCTACGCTGAGAGGGTCGAGAAAGAACAACACTCGTGATCCAATATTCCAACTCACTAGCAACGTGGTCGCATCTTTGACGTCTTGCGGTGCGTAAGAAGGGTCTTGCAAAAACTGGAAGCGACCAAGCTTATTGATGGACAAATCTCGCGGTTGGATATCTGACAACGACATTAGCAGTATGAGAAGAGAAACAAAACATCCACCGTTCATCAAAATTCAAAACAACGTCGATCGCGCTTCACCATAACGACCTACCTTCTTCCATAGCACACTTCGGGCTTTGCAAGAATTGCGTAGGGCTCTTCGTCAGCGAAAACTTCAACGTCGATGACACCGTACCGGACAGCGGGTCTGCAACCCACACGCGTCGTCCTGGTCGCGAGGAGAACACTTTGATTTCGCGTTTTTTGGCCGGATCAATTGACTCCACATTGAGGCTCGTGAAGAAACAAGCACCATATGCGCCTTGTCGGGCCTTTGTGCCAATTTGGACCGCACTTTCGTGCTCAAAAGACAGATTCAACAGCAACACACGTAGTTGCGACGACACCATCAGGATATGCGACGACCCGCTTCTTGCCAAGTCTAGCTGTACACGCCACCCAATTTTGCACCACTATGAGTAAGCAAGCTTGCAATGATATAACAAAAACAGCAGCAGGAGAAAGAGAGAGCGAAAAAGAGAGAGTCTAGTCACGACTTGAGCTTTGACCACATCGCACCTGCACGATCCCCGTCTCTTCTTTCAGCAGCAACTCGGTATCAGTGCTACCAAAGAGTGCTGACATGCCAGCACGCAGCACCGTCTGACACACTAGTCCAGCGTTACAGGCCGAAATGAGTCGGGCGCCACGCTTGTCCCATAAGAAGCAGGTGATCGGAAACCCTTTGTGAAAGTCGTGCGAGAACTCGATCTTTTCGCCAATTTTGTGGTACTCGGCGAGCTGCAGCGCGTACACGACGCCGCGTTTGGTACCAACAACAAGACGCTTTTGCTGGGGACAGATGCTGAGACACGCGACAGCAACGCGGTCGTTGCTCGGTGGCGTAATCATCTTGACCAAGTGGTACTTTGCCAGCGACACGCGACTGTCGAGCTCACTGCGGCCGAGCGCAGACGTTGCGTACAAGTAGACACTGCCATTGTTAGCACTGACATCGATACGACAATCGCCACATACGTCAGTACCTGAGAGATCCACCAACCACTGACCAGCCGCACTGTATGGCTGCCACACGCAATCGTAGACGTACCCACAAGCGAGAAAGTTCTCGGACGCGTGCACGCAGGTGAATTGGACTTTGCGGTTCTGTGTGCGCAGTCCCAAGTCCTTGTAATGCAGCAGCGGCCGACTGCGCACGGCGCTCGTTCCTGCGTCACCTCTGCTCGACGGCATCAATCCGTCGGTCGGTCGGCTCGCGTCTGCGATTGGTTGTTTTCCGTGCCTTGGGATCGTCGACGGCGACGTCTGATTGGCCGAATCGCAGCTCGTGTCGACACGATATTGACCAATCCACGACGACCTCGACTCTTGAGACCGACGCAATTCGCACCAGCTCGACGACGACGCACTTGGCCCGAGCACCTCTCGTGACGGATAGAGACGCAGCGACTGTCGTCTTAGCAGTCACTGTCGTCACCACCGCGACAAAGAAAACACGCAGCGCTCGAGAACGGTCGAAACGTGCGCCCACATCGCGTCTTTCGCTTGTCGTGCTGAGCATGTACATGCGGTCGGACTTTGCGGCGTTGCGTGTACGAAAAGACGTGAACGAGGTGCGTAGCGGGCGGTCAATGGGTACAGTTTGGTGATGGGTACAGTTTGTATGCTTATAGACTGAGCTGATCGATGTGTACGTGCACGTGTGTGTGTTTGTTTTTCTTCTGCTTCTCTTCTGCTTTTGGTCGTTTGTTGCTGTCGTTTGTTGGTGCGCGTGTAGCTGTCGAAGGCCAAGTTTACCTGCAGTCAAGCAAAGACCCGCGTGGATTTCCCCGATGGAGCAAACAATATGCTGCAGCTGATCTTCTCCATGTCCATTGCTGACGTGTCGGGTCCATTTGCCAATGGCGACTTTACCTTTTTTGTGGAAATTCCTCGAACGTACCCGTTTCATGGTGAGTGCTGCATGCAAGCGATGAAAAAGTGCAGATATACCTGTGATGTGCAATGGAAACGTTTAAACTGTTGTGCTGACTTGCTGTTGCTTTGTGTCGATCGGTGGCGCGTCCGTGGCGTTGGATTGTGGCTTGCGCAGCTCCCAGCGTGACGTGTTTGACCAGGTACAGTGTATGCAAATGCGTTTGTCGCTGGAGCAGTGTAATGACGATTGCGCGTGTTTGTGCTGTTTATGATGTGTTCTCGTGCAGGGTATGGCATCCAAACATTGACGCAGCAACGGGCAAAGTCATGATGCCGATTCTGGGCAAGGACTGGTGCCCTGTGCTCAGTATCAACACCGTCTTGCTCGGGTTGCAGGTAAAGACGCTGGCTGTATCGCGGCATGTCGATTGTATACTGACTAGTATGTTTGTGCGGTATCTTGGCTCTACACTGTGTTATTCTAGTTGATATTCCTAGAACCCGGCGTCGATTACGTTCTCAACACTGGGGCAGCCGAGCAGCTGCGTGAGGACCCAGAGCAGTTCAGGAGGGAGGCGCAGCAAATACTTTGTGGTGGGAAGTTTTACGGCATGGACTTCCCGTCACATCCGCGACAGATTGAAAGTCGACGACATGACTTGGGGTTGCGGGTAAAGCGTCCACGCGACAACGGCTCTCACGCAAGTGCGGAATGGGACGGTATGGTAAGCCCTATTACAAGCGATAGCATCAGCATCGAGGCTCCAGAGCTTATGGACTGCAGCGATGTTCCTGCATGGAAACGGACGCGAATCGAGTAGCCAAAAGTGGTGCTAATTGTGTCCTGGCTTGCCGACTTTTGGCAACTTGGCTCGTGATGGACCTCTTCGTATTCGACTTGCGCATTTGCGCGATAAGCTCTCGCTAGATGGCTCCAATATATTTAACAAACGTCGCTAAGCGCCGTCTTGGCAAACATGGAAAGGACAGCATTGACACAGCGTTTTGATTCCTGACCACTTGAGAATGGAAAAGTGGTCAGCATATCATGCGGCTCTTGACGAAGTGGGCAACAAAGTCCCTACATTTGTCATGTCGATTCGAGACGATGACGATGTAGTCATAGTCCAACGTTGTCGCATGTGAACTTGCTACTACTACCACTACTAGCAATTACTTTACCAATGCGCACTCGTTCTGTTAACGACAGACTTCTGAACTTCAGAGCATCGAGACAAATAGATTACCGGAAAGTAAACGGCACAGCACCACCAATATGGCTACATCTGACTGGACCAAATGGAGGTATAACGATTGACCCGTACCAGCCATTCTGCCACTAAAACATGCAAACGACAGCGATGGCGGTAGAGCTTCAGCAGAAGCTGCTGCAGGACGCGCAGTCTATCGACGAAGTGACGCGATTACTCCGCCACGAGATTGCATTGTTCCAGCGCACAATGTATAAGAACCACAGCCAACACCGTCGCGCGTCTTTCTTCCAGAACTTGCAGCATGTGAAGCGCTATGTACGGGATATCAAACTTGAAGCACTGGCTGTCGCATTTGCCAAGGCCGCAGTTGTTCTCCGACAGTTAGAACTGCAGTCAGGAGCCCATCATATTGCCTGGAAGGCGCTGGCCTCCGATATCAAGATCAGTGCGGACGCTGCGCTGCGGAAGCTCCAGATCGTTGCTCAAGCTGCGGCAGACGTGATTTGCGTCGCCCAAAAGGCGTACAAATGTACGGTAAACGACGCACTTGGGGCCGTGTTTTTTATTCAGACTGTACAAGACATGACATGTGGCGTCTCGACCTTTTGATGCTCGTGTCGTTTGCAGGTTTGCTGGTCCAATTTGCAATGACGTACTTTATGCCGTTTGTCCTGACGATGAACAGCATCCTCGCTCGGCTGACGATACTGATGAAGACAATCCTTGTGCGAGCAATTGAGCTCCACGGAGGCATCACGCTGCTGTATTTGAACGAAGTGACCAAGTCCAATCCACTTCGTGCCAAAGTTACTGCGGTGCAGCTCCGCGGGTATCAGATTCCCTCCGACGTGCTGCAAATTGCGAACGCCTAGTGCAGCCTTGAGACACGGTGCTGTACAACACAAAGCAAAGTTCGTGCGTGAGACTCATCGACGGGCAACGCGTGGACTGGCACACATGTGACTACACCACGACGCAAGATACATGATATTAAGACATACAATGCAACCGCCTCTTTTCACACACTGTACAGATCTCCAGCGCAGACTCGGTGCAGATCAACAAGCAGCTTGATTGCAACGGAGCGACAATGATCCAACCAGCTTGTGCGCAGATCATTTCACGAGCGAGACCGAAGCTTGCTGAAGTTCATTGCCGATTACTTGGCCTCCTCCATACCCTTTGCATTGCACGCAGCATCGAACAGCACAAACCGTAAGAGACACCGACCAACATCGACGTCACGGATGGCAAATGTACCTGCACGCTGAGGTCGAGTACTCGCGTAGTCATGTCGTGGTCCATTTCCACCTGCACCCCAACCGTACACATCTTTGGCGCTAAACCGTCCAACAACACACGTACGAACCACAACATGGCATCAGATAAACAACGCTACAACAATAACAACAGCACGACAGGATCAGCTGCAAAAAGCAAAAGCAAGTGTCTTACCAGTACAACTGCACGCTTTCTTCGATAGCCCACAGCGATTGCACTTGAAATTGGACGGGACGAGTGGGCACACGTGACCCTTCTTGGGTTCCCCACACTTCAGCATCACCCCATTAGCAACTCGCCCGCCATTGAGCCAGAACAAAAGACACTGCGACCGTATCGAGTTCGTACTTTACTGCAGCGGTAATTGCCTCGGTTTCGGTTCTGATTCCGCAGGGCGACGTCCACGTCAAAGCTGATTCCGTCCAGTCCTCCCACTGCTTCGCTCTGATTCTGCAACTGCTCCAAGAAGCCGCCCGTTGGTGGGGTGCGCAGTGGCATAGCGTTCAGCCCGTAGTCCAGTACATCTACTACACCGTAAGCACACAGACGCTGTCACTCGTCCGCCTTTGCGAACCGACACGCGCTCTATCCGTACAGCTATTGTCGCGTCTCGCTCGATGGGGGTTCCCATTCATTTTCGTGTTCTGCTCTGGCGTATACCACCGTCACTTTAGCCAGTCGTATACGCGCTCTGAAGTATCCAAACCCAGCTCCGCTGGGTGTATACACGCCGGCGACACCTTCGCCTCACTTCCTCACCCTCCCCCGTGGACTTTACCCACCCTCTCCAACAGCATACCGAGTCCGTACCGCAGGATTCCACGCCCCCACCGACCGACCACTCACTCGCTGTCCCGCTCGCCATGTCCTTCCGCTTCGGCCAAGCGAGCGACACCCGCGCGAGCTCCACGGCGCCCTCTTCCGCCACTGCGTCGTCGTCTTCGGCCCCTTCTGCTAATGCGTTCAGCTTTGGCGCGAGTGTGGGCGGCATCTCGACGGCGTCAGCAGCGCCGTCGTCCAGCGGCTTTTCCTTTGGCGCGAGTGCCAGTGCACCTGCAGCGCCAGTGACGTCGACAGCGCCGGCTATAGGCTTTGGATTCGGGACAGGGACTCGATCTGCCGCTGCCGCGCCGAGTACAAGCGCGTTCAGCTTTAGTGCGCCGTCTAAAGCCTCTGCACCGCTGTCGTCCGGGTTCAGCTTTGGGGCACCTGCGAAATCTGATGCAGCTGCTACGACTGCGGCTACTACTACTACTGCGGCTGCTACTACGGATACTGCAGCTACTACGTTGACGACAGCGACTCCGTCTTTTGGGTTTGGTGCACCGGCAGGAGCAGGGGATAACGCCAAGTCGACGCCAGCAGCCACGTCGGGGTTTGGCTTTACGGCCACTTCTTCTGCACCGACGACTTCGTCAACGGCTTCTGCGCTAACAAGTGGGTTCAGCTTTGGCACGACGAGTGGGACGCCAGCGTTGGTTGCTGCTACGTCAGCAGCGACGAAGCCCACGACCTCGGGGTTTTCGTTTGGCGGTGCAAGTACTACTACTTCTGTAGCGACGAAGCCCACGACCTCGGGGTTTTCGTTTGGTGGTGCAAGTACTACTACTTCTGCAGCGACGAAGCCCACGACCTCGGGGTTTTCGTTTGGTGGTGCAAGTACTACTACTTCTGCAGCGACGAAGCCCACGACCTCGGGGTTTTCGTTTGGTGGTGCAAGTACTACGTCGGCAGCACCAGCACCAGCAGCGACTAAGTCCACGACCTCGGGGTTTTCGTTTGGTAGTGCAAGTACTGCTACTTCCGCAGCACCAGCAGCACCAGCAGCACCAGCAGCGACTAAGCCCACGACCTCGGGGTTTTCGTTTGGTGATGCAAGTACTGCTACTACAGCAGCACCAGCAGTGAGTGCTGAAGAGAGCAAGAGCGAGACGAGTACGACATCGTCGTCGACAGTGCCGTCGTTTGGGTTTGGCACGTCGACAGCTGTTTCCAGTGCTAGCGGAGCAACGACGGCGGCGACTACGTCGACTACCACGACGACAGCGATTGCTACGACGACCACGTCAGGTCCAGTTACCGAGACAGAGAAGCCTCCTGCTGAGTATATGGGTCGGACCATCGAGGTACGACTTGGTTGGGAAAGAGATGGGGGTGTTGGAACGTTACTGCTGGATGAAGAATGACTGACTGATAGGTGGGGTATGCTTGTTGATTTGTTGTCCTGTGTTGCAGGACATTATCAATGCGTGGAGTGAGCAACTGGAGCGTAATGCCGACACTTTTACTACAGAAGCTGTGAAGGGTACGGCATTGCGTGCTATGCTGTTGGTGATGGAAACACGGTGTTGACGTTGGTGTTTCGGTGTTGCTTTTCGTGGTTAATCGATGGTAGTGAGCAAATGGGATAGCGACCTTTTGGACAGCCAGAGAAAGCTGGGGGACATTGCTGGTGACGTGCGGCGTATACAAGTCGCGCAGAACGAGCTAGATTCGAACCTCGACACGATCTTTGCGTACCAGATGGAGCTGAAGTCGACGCTTGAGGTACGGCTATGATCGCGCATATGCGATTGTCTTGTACGCAGATGGTAGCTGAGGTCCTATGGTATGCTGTTCGCTACGCAGCAACTGGAAAAGAGTGTGGACAAGATGTATGAGTCACAGCATCAGATGCCAGTGGCCGCCGACATTGAGCGTGAGCAGACGCTGCAGTTGTCGGTGGACATCGATGACCAGCTGAACTCGATGACGACGACGCTGAAGGAGACGGTCGAGAAGCTGAACAAGGCTCAAGATGACGCGGCTGATGAGAACAACCCGATGGTGCAGATCATGAAGGTACTGAACGTGCACCACAACTCGCTGCAGTGGATCGAAGGTACGACTGGCCGGATCAGTAGCGAAATTGCCCAGCTGTCGAGTAAGCTGCAGAACTCGTCGATTTAGTTGCTGGAGCCTAAGCGAGCCCTTGAGTTGTGGTTGCAAGGAATATGTTGTGTGTCACTCGAGCGTGTGTGTACAATGACTCGAGATGCTTTGTTTGTGATGTCATCGAGCGCCGACAAGGCATCGCCTGATCTTCGAACCAACTGTCGTCGTGGACGGGTGCGCGTCTTTGCAACGAGGTCATTTACAACGTACAAACGTAAGTATCGTCGTACATTGGCATGTAGCGATGGACGCAGCTCTCAATCGTTGGCAGCTATCTTAGCGGCAGCGGATGAAGAAGGAGATATAGTGATCGATGCAATGCGCACAGCTCCGGATGGCTCAACATGCGAAGCTATAGCAAGCGTCATACCGTTCCGTCGCCATCACACGCATGCAAGCTCAATTTTGCAATCAACATGTACAGCACACCCAACGCAGCAGCCTCAATGTTTTAGTTCAGCGTGTGAGTTTCTTTGTCTGCGTGAAGATAGTCATGCACAGCCAGCTGGATCAAGACCGGCTGCTCCGACGCATCAAAGCGAGCTGTTGTACGCAACAGCACCTCCTCGATACTTTTGGGCAAGCACCTCCATTAGTCCATTGTGGTGTTGTCGAGACGTCTCGTGCAACAAATGGCATCTTCAGCACAATGGATAGCTGGTCTACTCGACGATAGGAGAAGTACAAACCCAGTCGAGTTACGCCGCACACAAATGCTTGCATCTACCTACTATGCCGAATCGACAAACGATGTATTATATGGCACTGGGTGGAGCTGGAAGATACGTAGTGCGAAGTTTGACGTCACCATGAAGAACGAATACCTACAAAAGGCATCTATCGACCGCAAGCCGATCATCTCCCTCGAAAGAAACGATACGTTCCGACCATCCAGGAATGCACTCTCGGTATATGACGCAGAGGTACTGTTCCTAGTGCTTTCTACATCGCTACTCAAGGACGCGGTACCTGCAGTACTGAGAATGTCCCCATGACATCTTTACACACTTACCAACGTCTCGTTCGATGCAGATGCGAATGCATTGGCCCCTGTGCAAACGCATGCGTTCATAAACTTCACGGTTACGCCACACTACAGTAACGACGAGCAGTTGACGTCTTTCGGTCCGGTACATGTCACGAAAGCTCAGCTGACAGTTGGCACGGCGTCGAGCTTCCCCAACATGTGCCATTCATGCATTGTGAGAAATAGGATACGCAAAAACGCAGTCCAGAGCAGTGCCAAAGCTGAAGCTGCGTCGATGTACGGAATAGCAGAGGCGTTGCCATTGCTGCCGTCACGACACTTCTCGACGTCGCTCGAATGCAACAGATCAGGTGAATGCTATTGATTCGGCACTTCACCACCGGCGTCGTCGTTCAGTTAACTAATGAACTCGTCTACCTCGTCGCAAAGTCAAGTTTTGCATGATGGAACACATCGTGTGCTCGTCCTCCATCGCTGCTGCTGCGCGCGATTCATCATACCATCTCTGTGGACACAAGCGCTGGTCTTACGACGTCAGCAAGACAATCCGACCACAATGGGAACAATAACGGGCTTTGGCTCGACTCGCGCACAGCTCCGTTACGACTATTTCTTGACCTTATCCAGGATGCTGCCATGACAAGGAGGTCCATACTTACCTACGCACGGGTTTTCGAGCTGCGTTGACGATAAGCTCAGCACGTCAGGAACTGACGATCGTATCAGCATTCGCGTACCCACAACTTCTCCTCGTTGACGCTTTCTCGATCCTTCCAGACCAACGACTCGACTCAGGGGCTCCGATATGTTGGCAAAGGCAGACGAGCTCAACGGTTGACAAACCAGAAGTACGACCGCAAGCCGAAAACGGGTCAGGGAGTAACCGCAGTCAGTAGTTGTTCCTCATAAGACAGCGGTGAGGTCCGACGACGTACCTTTCGTCTCGAGATCAACTGCACAATGGATCACGCAGCGACTGTGTGTGTTGCCCAAGGAGACAGCATGAAGAAAATGTCCCAAAGAGAGTCGAGACGAGCGACTTTGTGCACTGCAATTGCCTCGCGGGCTCTTGCGGTAGCAGTGCAACAACTGGTCCCTCGATCGCTGACGATTGAGTCGATCAACGAACGCGAGTGAACGTTGCGAGCCGATCTTGCCACGGGTCTCATGGCCGCGAGCGTAACCGTCAGTTGTCGACAGGCGCAGCCGTTGCAACCTGCGCACCGCTCGTTACTCACCACTCCATGAAGCGACGCACGAGACGTTGTCCCTCACAAAGTCTCCGATCTCGATCAACGTCTTTGAGGTCATTCATTATCTGGTCCTCTGCATCGCACCTCCTCTTCCCACGCTCAGTTCTCATCATGCCAAGTGCTGCTCCATCTTCGCTTGCGATCGTCACTGCAATAGTCGCTGCCACTGCTTCGTCGATCCAACTGGGTCCAAGTACCTGCTCCGCTCACCTGCGTCATGACTGTCCGACGACACTCGACCCAGCAGAGTTGCAACTGAACGACGTGTACACAAAGTTGCTGGCCCACGTGAACGAAGAGCGAGCGGCCCATGGCCTCGCAGCCCTTTGTGCCAGCACAAAGCTCCAGCAAGCGGCCCAACGTCAGTCCGAAGATATGGCCGCCAACGACTTCCTGCACCACGTCGGATCGGACGGATCGACTGTGCCCAGTCGCATCGCAGACGCCGAGTACAAGTGGACCACAATCGCCGAGAACGTTGCAGCGGGGCACGTGGACGCCGAAGCTGTCATGGGCACGCTCATGGACTCGACGGGGCATCGCATGAACATCCTCGGGGACTACACGCACTTTGGCGCGGGCTACACGTACAACCCGGATGGACTACACGGCCACTACTGGGCGCAAGAGTTTGCAACGAGCGACAGTGAGCGTTGCGACGAGACTCGACTCTTTGCTCAAGCAGATAGCTTCTTCTCTAGCTACTTCTGAGCACTAACACGACCTCGTTGCTACTTTTTTTGACCTGTACGCCTCATGTTTGCTACTCTCTTGACCGTGTGGCCATTTGTTCGACAAACATCTTTACTCGGAACAAGTTGTACACTTGTCATTGAGCCAATGCTGCAGCTGGTATTCCTACTCATGTATTGAACGAAAGCAATGCAAGTCATGCCACGACTCGGCCAGTATCGGAGTGATGCAGCTTGGAGGCGAGAAGGTTGGCAGTGGCTTGGGCAGATATGTCGAAGTCTACTTAGAAGCTGGAAACGCAATCCGTTCTGTAAGGAGACTCGTTCGGTATCAACGTCGGAGCACCTGAAACAATCTCTTCGACCTTCTCGAGTGAGCAGTTTTTTTAATTGCTGATGGATCCACTTCCTCCACCGCATCGTTCTCTGGCTGCGCTACAGCGGTCATAGTGCTCGCACATTTGTGAGTATTTATACTACTACTACTACTACTACTACTACTACTACTACTACTACTACTACTACTACTACGACTGATAGAGAGCGTTCGCTGCTGGACACGCAGTGCAGTCGTAATGGAGTGCCGCGACAATGCAATCCAAGATACAACATACTAACGCCCACATTGTCTTCACGAGCACGTCAAGACAGTATGAGAAAAAACAAAACAGCATACACCAATTTCTTACGTGCTTTCGCTGCACTCGCGCAGCTTCTTCTACTCAGGCCTTGTCGCAATCCACGGCTATCCTGCTTATCCCGTAAGACACAACACAACACCTCTCACGGTCGAGCACCTCGTGCTCGGAGCTTGGACTCGTCCGCCTCTTCCGACAACCCATCACGAGGCCGCGTAGCAACGTCAGCAGCCGACACCGCCAGTCTCGAGCGTTCCGGCGTCTGCAACTCGTCATCGTCGTTTCCATCAGACAAATCAGTGAAAAAGCCATTGGGGACAGTAGACGCCACGTTGTCGTGCAAGGCATCCAATACGCGCGACCCCAACAGCTGCGTCAGTCGGTTCAGCTCCTCGGCAGTCAACGTCGAACGTCTGCGCTTCTTCTTGTGCCGCTTCTTCTTGTGCTGCCGCTTCTTCTTGTGCTGCTTCTTCTTCGTGTCCTTTTCGCACGCCTCCGTGTCCCCGCGGCCAAAGTCCTGCGTCCAGTAGTACGTCATGGAGCTGTTCTTGTTGTAGGTACACGCCGTGCCGAACATTGTGTACGTCGGGTTCATAATGTTCTCCCGATGGCCCTCCGACTCCATCCACGACTGCATGACCTCCTCGACGTCTTCTTGACCCGCGGCCACATTTTCCGCCACGGCGTCCCACATGTACCCTGCTGCCGAGATGCGCTGGGACATGGACGACCCATCAGTGCCCCCGTGGTCCATAAAGTCGTGCCGAGCCATGTCGTTCGAGTGCCGCTTTGCTGCGGCCTGCAGCTTTCGGTTCAGACAAAGCGGTGGCAAGTCGTGCGCAGCGCGCTCGTGGTTTACGCGCGCGAGCATTGCTGCATGGTAATCCACGGGACGCGCTGCGTGGGACAAGTGGGTCTGCGAGGCAACGACCCCCGCGAGTACAATGGCTGCCCGTGGTCCATAAAGTCGTGCAGGGCACATGGCAACCTATGGGTTGTGTTGGCGCTATGTGAAGAGCTGATGGGGAATGAATAAATGAACGACGACGAAGCAGGCGCTGCTGATCCGGTCATGTACGTGGTGGTCACCATCGGAAGATGCACGACGACCTTATCCGGATTGAGGGTTCAATGTGTCGCGTAAACGCCCATCCACTAACGACGCGTCAAGGGGCATAGGAAGCCAAGTGGTTTGTATGCGAGATGTTCAAGCGCAGGAGCTGATACCGAGCGCTCGAGAGCACGTTAGCAGTCCCGGTCTGCTGGAAAAAGAGAGACAGTATTGTCGTCATTCAGAAATCAAGTGGATCGCTGGCTGGGGAATCTGGGCAGGGCACCACTCTGTATACGGTCGACGTGATCCGAGTGTAGATACAAACAGGGCAAGCAGAGTTTAGTTTGGGAGGCCGGCAAGAGACCGACTGACTGTTTGTTGGTGAGAAGGAAGCGATACTTTCGACGAGATAAGCGTTGCGCATAGAGGCCCAACGAAGCAGCTTAACGTGACGTGAAGCTGATCACTGACCTTAACGCGCTCCCGTAAACAGCTGCTTTGCTTATGCTGTTTGATGCGGTCCATGCTGTTCCTCAGCATACTGCCTCCGGTACAAGATCACACTGCAAACGCCTCTCAAAGACCAACAAAAGTTCTGGACAGCAGGAGTTGATGCGATTGTCGAATAGACCACTTCAGTCGTACTGACAGAACGAAGGAAGACAGAACGTAGACGGTAATGGAGATTCTCTTTCTCTTTGTTTTTGTCTCGCAGGATGGCACGGGTTGTGCCATCCGATAACAAGGCACGTCGATCTGCAAATCGAGGTCTCGTTTCTGCGCATGGGATTTTTCTCACGCCTCTGGTCTGTCTGGTTACTTGGCCAGAACTCGCGCGAGCTGTCGCGTCTATCTTCCGATCAGCTTTGGGCTGGTGGGCGTCAGTGGGTAGTGGTCTAGAGTGCGACAGGCAAACTGATGTGCTGCATGTGAGCTGACGATGTGAGTCAGTTTACGGCCAGCGAGAACTGCATTCATCGCTATGTGTGTTGAAACCAGGCGAGCCCGTCATAAACTGCATTTGTGCTCCCGTACAACCCCTTTTTGCTGCAGTGAACGGTGCAAAACAACATAAGGCCTCCCCGCAGCAATTGTTGGACCATGCGGTCGGATAGCGTGATTCCCAGCGCACAATGAATGCGTGACGCCCAGCGTGCCAAGGCGAAAACAGCCGAGTAGACATTGCAACGTCACGTCGCTATGCCGCCACGATAATTGCAGCACACAGTATACGAGTTACCACATTCGGTCCAAAGAAATTCATTACTGCTTAGCGACAGCTACTTTCGGTACGCTAATTCCACTTTTCGCCACGACCCACACCTTTAACCCTTTCCGCAACGCATTTTCGAGCATCCCGACCCAATTTCGACCACATACTGTCTGGCACTCAGAAGTGCGACTGACAGTCTGGTTCAACAGCTCTGTCCGGTCCAGTCGTTGGTGGAAGCACTTCCGCCAACGGCATCGACCCGTACGTCACCGGCACGTTATAGCCCGAAAGCAGCCCCCCCAGAGTCCCCGGTAGAGATCGAGATCCTTTCGGAGCCACACGGGATGTCATCCGAGTCGCTGGTGCAGGCGGTGCAGGTGGTGCAGGGGCTGGAACCGGAGCTGGTGCTGGAGCAGGAACTGAAGCTGGAACTGGAACTGGAGCAAGAACTGGAGCTGGAGCAGGAACTGGAGCAGGAGCAGGAGCAGGAGCTGGAGCTGGAACTGGAGCAGGAGCAGGAGCAGGAGCTGGAGCTGGAACTGGAGCAAGAGCTGGAGCTGGAGCTGGAACGTTCGGGACGTTCGGGACCCTCATTGGAGTCGGAGCTCCGACCGTCCTGGTCGTCGTCTGCACCTGCTGCTCGACGTGCTGAGTCGCCCCTTGTCGCACGGTCGTTGCCGCGTTCGTGACCAAGGGGTCGCAGGCTTCGGTTTCCCCCGTGCCAAAGTTCTGCGTCCAGTAGTGCTGGTTCTTGCCGGCCAGATTGAACGCGTAGGCCGAGCCAAACATCGTGTAGTCGCCCATGATGTTCTCCAAGTGCTCGGGCGAGTTGATCCACCCGACCATCACGTCAGCGACGTCAACGTGGCCCACGGCCACGTTCTCGGCCACAGACTCCCACTCGTACCCGGCGTCCGTGATGCGCTGCGACATGCGCGAGCCGTCCGTGCCAATGTGGTCCATGAAATCGTGCGCGGCCATGTCGTTCGAGTGCCGCTGGGACGACGCGTGCAGCTTCTGGTTAAGGCAAAGCGCCGGCAATCCTGCAGTCGCGCGCTGGTGGTTCACAACATCGAGCATCGCCTTTGCATACTCGTTGTACGACACGTACGTGAGGGCGCCCGACGCAATCGCATTCGCGCGGCGAAGGGCGGCCGCTGTCGAGGCACCAGTGGCGGTGGTCGATGCTGTAGCTGCGAGCACGAGCCAGAGAGTGGCAAACGACGACTTGGAAGGGGGCAGCATGAGAGACGGGCGGGGAAGTGGAAAAGGCGTCAATGCCGAAGCCGCTTTCGGTGTGGATCGCACGTGAGGTATTGCAAAGTGCGTCGAGCGATACAGCGACACACTGGAGATCGACTTCTCGACCGATCACTCGACCGATCACTCGACCGATCACTCGACCGATCACTCGATCGATCACTCGATCGCGAGTCAATTTCGGGTGCCGATCGGACCCACGCGACGGCAAAGTCGGCCGCGCGCGCGCTCGACACCTGAACGTCAGCGTCGAAAGTGTCCCTTCCAGCGGTCGCGCGTCGTCACACTTCAACAACGTGTCGACCGCATCGCTGACGCACGTGATTGTCTCACGCGTTCGAGGAATAGGGAAACGCGCGTGCGGGAACACCGGTGCATAGACGGCCGCAAGCGCCCAGGCGCTGGCACGGAAGCGCGTGCATAGACGGCGCGCGCTCGTGAGACACCTCGACACCGCTTGTGATCGCAAAGGCGGGCGGGCGCCCTGCGAGCACACGACCAGCTGGTTGAGCAGCTGGAAGAGGGGGGACACCCACCCACCCACACACAGCCCGTGCGGCAATCGACGACGACTTTTTACGGGCGTGAAAAATGTCTGCGAAGATCGCACGGGCAGTGCCGGGGGAACTTTTGTGCGCGAACGACACTGGTGATGGACACGTCGGTCTGCTTGTCCGCTCTGATCAAAAGATGGATCGATGTCCATGTCGAGCCACGTGGTGGGGACGGTCATGTGCAGTCTCTGACATCAGAGATACGTCCGAGAGCAGCACGTGGAAGTAGCGGTAGTGGTGGTGCGACATTGGATGAGCGGCTGCGTACCCACTCACCCACTCACGCCCTCGCTCACGTACGTACAGAGTCCCGCACAAGAGCAGTCGGACCGACACGCACTTGACGACCGAGAGGCCTACGAACGCCCACTCGCGGCTGCTCCAGTCAGCGAAAGCCGGTCGAGCTCTCGAGTCCAGAAGAGAGGTCCCATTGTCGGCCGCAGATTGACGCCCGTTCGTAGCGGCTGTGTGCCGTATAAGGGTCTGAACTACACTCGACGCACTTTGACACTCTCACAACTCGGCAATGCGAAGCCGCACGTGCGGATGCTCCGAGTGCGACTCTGCAGTGGGAACGTCGTACGCTACGGCCGCCAACGACCCGCCAGCACCAGCTGTAGTTCGCGAGCGAGCGACCGCCCGCCCGACTGAGCCATGGAGTCGGTTGAGACGTTCAGCGAGCGCCTCGGCACTGGCTCTCTCGGAGCCCGCCACCAGCTGTTCGCCCCACCTGTTTCTCAAGCAGCGAAACAGTGGGACCGTCTGACGAGGTCCTCCCGTCGCAAGCCACACGGCCGAAACCAGACGGCCGCACGGAGCAGGTGGCCGACTGGTTTGGGGGGTCGACGCTTTAAGCCCTCAGGCGCGTCTGGAACAAACGCGCGAGGGGCTCTGACGACCATCGACCGGTCGCAACGCGTGTGTTTGTGTGTGTGTGTTTGTTTGTTTGTGTGTGTATATCTGTCTGCGTGTGTTTGTGCGTGTGCGGCCATTGTCGGCCAGCGCGTGCCAGAGGGCGCACCAGCCGCTCGCGCTGAAGGAACGTCGACATCAGATGCACGTGTCTTCGCCAGCCAGCCGTCCGTCCGTCCGTGAACTGCCTTTTGCGCGTCTCGGCCGGCGCCGGCGTTGGCGTTGGTCGTGCTCATTCTCGAGCTTACCGCCTTCCACCACCTCCGCCTCCTCTTCCCATCACGCCGCTCTCCATCATGCTGACCTTTTCCAAGTCTTCGCTTACGCTCCTGCTCGCGGTTGCCACGGTCACGGACGTCTCGGCAGCGGCCAACCTCCGCCGTCTCGAAGGCACGACGATCGCTACGAACAAACTCACGTACGCGTCGTACAATGAGTATGCAAAGGCGATGCTCGATGCCGTGAACCACCAGCGCGCGACGCAGGGGCTGCCGGCGCTCTGCCTCAACCAGAAGCTGCACGTGTCGTCCCAGCGGCACTCGAACGACATGGCCACGCACGATTTCATGGACCACTTTGGCACGGACGGCTCGCGCATGTCGCAGCGCATCACGGACGCCGGGTACGAGTGGGAGTCTGTGGCCGAGAACGTGGCCGTGGGCCACGTTGACGTCGCTGACGTGATGGTCGGGTGGATCAACTCGCCCGAGCACTTGGAGAACATCATGGGCGACTACACGATGTTTGGCTCGGCCTACGCGTTCAATCTGGCCGGCAAGAACCAGCACTACTGGACGCAGAACTTTGGCACGGGGGAAACCGAAGCCTGCGATCGCTCGATGGACACTGCTTCGATCCCGGCCGTGAAGCAGGAGGTGCAGACGACGATGGAGGCGGTTCAGGCACCGGTGTCAGTGCAGGTCCCGGACGTCTACGCGCCAGCTCCAGTCCCGACTTTGGAAGTACCGGTCGTCGAGACGCCAGAGATTGTCACGCCGGAGATTGCCACGCCGGAGGTAAACGCACCTGTGGCGAACTCGCCGGTGGAACTTGCAGCGAAAAGCCCGAAAGCGATCGACTGCGAGTCGACGTTTGACGTCTTTTCGCGCTAAGCTGCTCGCAATGTGATGCGGGGACGACAACGTCCCGTTTCGAGCTCTATGTTCCAACTGCGTAGATGCAGTGATGTCGCGCGGGCAGCAGACCTGACCGTCGTACAATAAATAACCAACTTTGCTTACGATACCTCTTTCTTTGGTCAACCCTTCGCGTAGACAGGAACTGCTTTGTCTCAGATTCGTGTGCTCGGGTCTCTGAAGATGAGCGCTAGTGCAATGTATTGCCCATCATCGTGCTATTTAGCGTGTTCGCGTGGATACGAACAAGGTATGTTCCATGTTCGTAGAGTTTTTGTAGCTGTTCTAGCAATGCACATCGGCTACCGTCCAATCCATTGTCTACGTTGCCGAGCAATCTCTCGCTTGTCAAACGTACAGGCGCGCCGTGTAAGTGGGTCTACAGAGCTGTGGCTTGCGCAGACCCGTGAGCTTTCTCCCCTTCGACTTCGCGCAGCACCTGTCGCGCAACTCCTTCCCAGCTTTTAGCATGCGAAAACTTGTAATGCAGGAGATAGCTGAAGCCACGCAGCAACAACGAGCAGCGGAACGCCATCACGTACTCGTCCGGGATGTACTCGATCCGGTCAATCCTGCACGCAACATAACGCAACACAACGCAACACAAACGTATGGTTAGTACAATCACAACGAGATGCATCATCGATACGAACACACCAGACAACCACAGCCACGCACGTGTGCAAGCGCTCGAGAAAGAGCTGGGGGTTCATGCCTTCCGTGACCGTGCGGTCGTCATTGTCGATCATCAGTCGAGCTTGTTTTTCCAGAAAATACGGATCCATGTTTGTCGTCCGGATGCGCATGTCCTTTGTCAGCACGTCAATGATGTCGTCCCGTGACCCGCTTGCAAGTGCCACAATCAGTTTTGCAAGGTGCACCCGGTGCTCTTTCGAGATGTGCTTCACCTGGCCATAATCGATGAGGCCAAGGCGCCCATCCTCGAGCAGCAAGATGTTTCCAGGATGTGGATCTCCATTGAACGATCCATTGACGAAAATCTCGTACCCGTGAACATCCATCACCAACTTCAAGATCTCCGGCAAATTCAGCAACTCGTGCTCCTCGTCTTCTCGAGGTGACCACTCGACCGGAGCAACAAAGCCCAGCGTGTAGTCGTACACGCCTTTCCCCACACGCCTTGCCAGACGTTTGGCGCCAAGAGTCCAGCTATAGACACGCAACTGGAACGACGACGGTCCTGTCTCGATATCCAATCCTCTTGCGTGCCGTTCCTGATCCTCACGGTCTTGATTTTGCTTCAGAAACTCTACCGTCACTCCTTTATCGGCTGCAATCGCTTCAAAATGGTCTTGAATGCCTTCCAACAGCTTCCGTCCTTTCAAAAACTCCATCACCAAGACCTCTTTCGTACAATACTCCATCTTTGGTTCCGGAATCGCTACTTTCGCAGCATACGGACTATGTGCGATATTCCTTCGCACCGTGTCCAAGTTCTTGGCTTCTTCAATGTAATTAAACTCCGTCATAAACTGCTTCTCGACCTCGACAAGGAACGGCAGATGCACGGGCTGGAAGAACCGGCAAAAGTCCTGAATCGTCTTGATATCCCAGCGGAAAAACGTCTCTGCATCCGGATGTTGCACCTTCACAGCCACTTCTTGTCCATCCAGTAACACCGCTCGATGCGCTTGACCAATCGACGCGGCGCCCAGCGGCTGCGGGTCAATCGACCGAAACAACTGGTCCACGGGTTTTCCAAAACTCTGTTCAATAATCGCACAAATCTCGGCCACAGGCTTTGACGGCGCGTCATCTTGAAGTTTCGCTGCGCGGTCCAGATACTGTTTCGGTAAAACATCTGGTCGCGTCGAACCTGTCTGGGCCAACTTGACGTAAAACCCCTTGAGCTCCAAAACAATATCAAACACCTCGGGCGCGTACTTGTCGTGCAACCTCTCATACTCGATATTCTGCTGCTCGATCGACAGTTCGAGGTGGTCCATCCACAACTTGGCGGCGCGATAGTGTAAGTAGATGGGAAACGCTTTGCGCCAAAAGTACAGCGAGCGGTTGAAGCCCTCGTCCGAGTGCGCCGCGTACGTGACGCCGCCCGCCCCGGCAGCTGTCGAGCCCAAGACGAAGCGCGCGCCATTGCGCCACATTAACTGCCACATCGAATGGTCGCACGGACGAAGTGCTCGCTCGCGGCGTGTGTGAGGGGTCTGCGTGCGTGGTGATTGGCTGAAAGTCAGCGTGTGGGAGGGATCTGGTGCGCGCTGATTGGCTGAAAGTCAGCGTTAAGGCGCTGATTGGCGGGCGAGATGTGCCATCGCCTGTAGCGACGATTGGTCGAATGTCAGGAGCGACACTTACATGCAGTCGTCCATGAGGGCGTGTTTTCTACCAATCATCGCTGTGCTCGATCCGAACGACCTTCGCGACACATGACAATGAGCTCGAGCCTGGGCGTGAGTCTGCTCGTGCGGGTTGCACGGGAAGTCAAACAGAGCACCGAGCGGCAGTTCTCCGACGCACATGGCGAGATGCTGGCGGCGTTACCGCTCGAGGATCTGCAAGTATTGCAGGCCGCAAGTGAATTCGTAGCGAGGAACCTCGTGATTTGCGTGACGGCAATACCGTCACGACGCAGTTTTTACCGCGTCGAGTCGGTGAGTAAATACCGCAAACGGAACGAGGACGTGCCGCACCTGGCTGTGAATACCGGTACGCAGCCCTTTGACGAGGCACTGGTCAGCGGGCATGGCGCAAATTACTACAACTGCTTTGGCCACTATTGCACTTGTGCAGTCTTTCACGAGACGGTCGTGACGACGCATCCGACGGCAATGGTACGAGGAGATACACTGCAACGCTGTTGATGGAGAAGATGTGCTTACTTGACTATGGTTGCAATGACATTCGGTGTTTGTCTGTCTGTCTGTCTGTCTGTCTGTCTGTCTGTCTGTCTCTTTGTATGTCGCTGTAACGGTATGGTTGTCGTTGTGGGTGTAGTGCAAGCACATGGTCGCGCGACTTCTAGCGGACGCCACCGGTCAGTATCAGACGATGCAGGTTGACGACGCTAGTTTTGCGCAGATGTTGTGTCCTCCTATGATAAAAGAGGACATGTACGATGGACAGGGATAGTCGTTTTGTTTACCGTAATATATGCGACTTCAACGACATCGGCGGTTGCTGTAGTCATAGAAAGCGAGAAAAACCGGTTTTCAGCATGTTGATCGTCGGTGCCGAGGTTCCTTGAATGTCGACCAAGTTGCGGGCCGCGTCATTGCATAACGCCAATGCACGACACAGATGAGGACGCAGGTCAGTCGCTTGCTGCGGCCTCGCAGAGCTGGAACTGGCACGATCTGTCTCAGAAGAACGGCGAGTCCATTGACGGCAAGTCGAGCAGCACCCGCTGCGTCAGCGTTGGCCAGCAACACGGCACGACGAAGCCGCCGTCGATGCTGCTCCACCGCCCAGCGACTACGACACAACTAACGCCCACGGTCAAGACAATACGTACCGATCGTGAAAAACCTGTCAAAATGGATACAGAAGCGCTGGACGAGTTTTCCCAGCTGCGGATCGCGGACCGCACGATCTCGACCGAGTTGTTGCGTCAAGAAATGGACGGGCGCACGTTCATTAAGCTGCAGGACATGGATCGTGTCTCGAAGGACACGTTTACGAACGGAGCAGTACGTGTCAATTGTTGTGGGCAAAAATGATGCGACTATATAAGATTTGACAGCATGTTGCGTGTTTTGGATTTGTTCTGTGTACATATGCTGTATACGCATTGTGTAAACGTATGCTGAATACGTATGCTATGTACATTTGCTGTGTGTGTTCTGACAGGTTGACTGGGTGACCATTGGTGTGTTGACACGGAAAACGCTGTCAAAGCCAGCAGCTAATGGGTCTACGTTCATGGTGTGGGGCATATCGGACCTCAACGGGACTGAGCTGGGGATCTTTTTGTTCGGAGACGCCTATGCTCGTCACTGGAAGGAGACGACGGGCTCGGTTGTTGCTGTGCTTAATGCCGCACTGCTGCCTGCTACCGAGAAGAACAAGTTTGCATTCAAGGTCACGCAGTCAGCAGAGGTGGTGAAGCTAGGCAGGGCAGTGGACTTTGGCATTTGCAAGGGAACGACCTCGGGCGAAGCTCGCTGTCGGCTTGCAGTCAACACGTCAAAGGTGAAGCCAACTGATAACTTTGTAAAAGCAGGGTGTGTTGTACAACTGACCTTGTGATACTGGCATGCTTGCACGGACTGGCAGGCACAATATTGCTTGCACCACATTGCTGCAAATTTCATGCAGGCAGGACGTGGACGTCAGCAGCTGAATAACTCGGCGGGTAGTTTGCGCAAGACACTCTTTGCGGGCACTGCAAACACGAAAAACTTGTCGGCCGGCGTGTACACGTCAGCCTCGTCGAACGCTGGCACTTCGGGATGGAAGCCAGCGTTTACAACGAAACGCAAGCGCAGTGATGGTGCAGTTCTGGGCGTACCCACTGTGCTGGCTGCTTCGGGTGCTGTTCTGCAACGAGGCAGAAAAGATCTGGCACAGTTGTCGAGTGCTCGCGGCGCCCCTGAGAAAAGACGACGTGGCACTGTGAGTCTCATGGACCAGCTACGAGAACCCGCCGCTGCGTCTATGAACCCTGCGCCGCAACGTGTAGGCGCAGGATCAGCAAATGTGGCCCAACCTTCCGGTCGAGCACAGAAGATTTTGTAAGTTCTCGTTTGCTAGTGTGCTGCAGGCCCGATGCTGATGTGTCTTCATTTGCGATCTTAGGTCGGCGGTGCTTGCAAAAAATGAAAACCAGCTCCGGCAACCAAAGAAGAAGAAGGTGGACATGATTCACTTCATGAGAACTGGGTCCCAAGTCAGAAAATGATCTTGACATTGTGTGCGGGAGGAGGATTGTAAGGTCCACCGCGACAGGCTGAACGGACGCCGGGAAGTCTACGTTACCACGCATACATTACATCTTCGGGCACACTGGCTCATACCCGGCACATACCGAGCGTGGATATGCAGTACGGACATGCACACGTACCGTCCGATTGACTTCTATTGTGACGGAGTGAAGGAGTTGTACCGCTCGCAGTGGCCGCAGACTGTGTACTGTACTTTGCGAAGCGGAGAACGTGGATAAACACGCCTTGCCTGAGTCATGATCCGAGATACGACCCTAGACATTGTCAGATGACGAACGGGATGTGATGAAGCTCTCGGAAGCGTCGACGAGCTGCATTGATAGATGCACACAATCTGGATGGGCGGTCGAAAAAGGTCTCAGCAAATTTATTGATGCCCAAGTTTTTCCACTCTGGTCAAAGAAGCGATGAGTAATACTGGTCATGTTTCTGTCAACATTCGAGTGCAAGTGTCGACCCACTCCTTCTACTTGTGCAGTATCTGCACACGAGCACAAAACGGATCTGGTCACCGCACTGCTATTGCATGTGTCGAGGTACTAACACACTTGCGCACACTTCGTTGTGCTACTTTTGATTCATTTAGGCTCAGTCTACAGCGGTGTTGTCCCAGTTGGGTCCAAGGCCACCAGGTGTGCTAATCCTTTGCTCTTTGTGCTATACACCGCCTCAGTCGGTTATAGTCAGCAGTGCACGTTCGAACTTGCTGCAACATGACCATGCTATTCAGGTTTCTCGATTGAACATACAAAGGTATCATCAGATACGCATTTGCGGTCTGAGAGATTGCATATTGCAGCGTCTTGCTATCCCAACCCAAAGTTCAGTATACGCACGCAATCGACTATCAATGTCGACGACTGGCATACTGCAAGTCCATAAGGTTTACACTTTGTGACGCGGGCCCTCCTCTGCATTTTCATTTGGCAACGATCGCAGCGTCCAAAAGGACCCAAAATAAATGTGTCTGTAAAAAAAGCACGTCAGCGGTACAACACGCGCATCGTCAACGCTAAAACGGAGTCCCAAACTACGCGTCGATTTAGAAAGAACGAAAACACACAAAACGCATTTGGAACATCGGTCGCGAGCAGCCGTGTCTATTTCTAATTCACGTAAAGCAGGACACCAATAGCGCTCTCTATTTTAGAGCCACTCGCGACCATGAGTCGGCATAGCAAGAATGCCACGGCGACGACGCACTTTACGTACCGCGAGCGAGAGGCAGCTGACCACGGAACGCTCAAGCGTCGCTTTGGACGTGACTCGCAGCTCCCGTTTGGTATGTGCTGTCTCTGCTTGGCGTCGACACACAGCCGCAGTCCCCACGTCTCGCCAGCGGGGTTTGTCTACTGCAAAGAGTGCATTTACGCGAACTTGTTAGCGCAGAAGCGCGCGATTCAGGATAACGTGGCCGCCTACGCGCGCTATGTCGAGTCGCAACATCGGAAACAACAGGATAAGGAGCTCGAAACCGAGCGCACGCTGCTCAAGTCCGTATTGGACCACGCGCAAGGCGTGGCGGTTATACCGAAACCACAGGATAAGAAGCTCATTGCGTATCAAAAGCTGCAGGAAAAAGTGGACCGAGCTACAGACGACGACAAGCGCCAAGCAATGAAGAAGACAAGTTACTGGATTCCTGACTGTACTCCGAGTCAAGAACGTAGTGTGGACGAGCCCGAGACCAAGACGCGGGACCCAATGAGTCCCGACCACTGGCTCAAGCTCAAGCACTTGATGCCGGTCAAGTTTGACTGGATCACCAATAGTGGCGACGACCAAAAGACGCACCACGTGGTCTGTGCAGTGACCAAAAAGGAGGTTGCGCACCATCGCGCCGTGCTGCTGCGACCGTCGGGTCAAGTGGTGCTGGAAAGCTGTGTGAAGCAGATGGTGCTGCCGACCATGACGTGTCCTGTCACGGGCCTCAAGCTCCGCAAGAAGGACATTGTGCACTTGCAAGCTGGAGGCACGGGCTTTAGTGCGCATAGCACTGTCGAGGCAAAAAAGTATCGCCCAAGCATGACGTAGATGCACTGTATAAGTGCGGACGCAGTTGAGCGCGCGAGCAATGAGGCGGACATATGAGGACGACGACTGTGGTGATTTGAGAGAAGGGTTGGGACCTTTTTGGCTGGTAGCGAACGTTTGTGGAGAGTGGTCAAGTACGTAGCATTGGATTAGCTCTATGCTACACAAGGGCTATTGACGTGCTGTACCAGAGCACTCGGCGACAGAGATCAGTGTAATTGAAAAGATGGAGAGACTGTGACCTGATCTATCGGGATGGAATTGTTCACTCGACAGTCATACCACGAAGCGGCTCTAGACATTCATGTTGGAATACTGGTCCAGACGTTGGGGTGCTACCACCCGCTGCGTACCGTACACTCGATACAATGCTGCTTGGATAGCATTGGGCGTCTCTCCCCGACGTAGCAGCTCGCGGATTCCTTGCAGCGTTTGGTCACTCACATCCGCGATGGAAAAGTACGTCGGCTGTGTGAGGGTCTCATCTGATTCTCCTTCCAGTTCTTCCTGCAGCTGACCTGTCGTTTCCAATAGTGCAGAGCGCGCTTGACACTCGTCACTCAACACGCTCTCACGCGTTAAACTCTCTTCGATAACATAGCACGGCGGACGATGAAGTACATCTTGCGCGCGTATACCATCTACATACAGCAAACACGACACGTGGATTAGACGACACTACACCCGCAATCACTTGTACGAGAGGATAGCATCTACCCACACATCCACCCACCCACATATCCACATACCTTGTTCAACGAGCTTCCTCATCGACGCATGTCCGGCACTTAGACTTTGGCCAAGAACGACAACGAGTCCCGAGTCGATAGCATCCAGCCGATCCATATCCGTATGGCTACATACACGAGCCAGAAGCCCGTGACGATACAACAATCCAGTCGCCAAATGTGCCGGTGAGACGAAATGGCTCGAAACTTCCGCTGCATCGTCCACAGTGTCCTCCCCATTACGCCCACGACTTTTGCCATTTTGTTCATCATCTGCTACGACAACGACGTGCGTCTCGCCCCGAGCGTGACACACTGCCGCAATAAACGTCAGTGCAGCTGACATTGGGTTATAGTGCACGTCAAATGTAGCCATTCTTGACGAAGGGATCACTTGGCCGCTATACGGCAGCACGGCCACTGAACAGATGGACGGCGATCGCCCGTTCTTTAACACTTGAGCTTGAAGCGATTGAACTGACGCTATTGTCGACTCTAATTGCGCCTCGTTCGCAATCTCCACTTCCAGTACCTTCACACGCTTCCGTTGCGTCGCTTGTACCGTCGTTACGTTCAGGCCCACTGTATTCCAGTCCACGCTATTTTCAGCTTGCTCTATTTTTCTCCCCTTTTCCACAAGTGGCACGGTCACGATATGGTCGGCGTGTTTTTGTCTCGCGATCCGAGATAGAGCCGAGGTTACGGGTGCGATACGGAGCACCTTTTCGGTATCCTTGCTGCCCTCTCGCTTGTTATATTGCCGCTCTATCGTCCAACCCGACGACCATAAACTCCAGACAACTCCATAGCTTCCTGTAATCATACGTAGTGCCCGCACTGACTTGGCGAGCACCAGACGCTTGCCTACCGATGACAAACGCGACCCTGTGCGCTCTGCATTATCCTGCACAAGAGCAGATATCGCCACGTTTGAGGCGGCAGCGACGTGGCGCGCGGATACGGAGCTCCATACGGCGCTTGGCAATACGTTTAGAGCAGCGAATTGGAGCGCAAATCGCAATGGAATCGGGCGGCGCTCTATCGAAAGACACGCTTCAGTAAAACTTAGGGCAAACGTGGCTCCGAGCGCTGTGCCGACACGATCGAACGCGCGCGGGCTCGCTGGGTCCTCGTCTACTGCAAAGTCGGTTGGGCGATTCGTGGCCATGCGAAGTTCGTAGCTGTGCAGGCGGAGGTATCAACGATAACGCGCGCTATCGGTCATTTGCAAAGACTCTCAATGGCATGTCGAATGGGGGATAGATAGAGCGTCGAATACATCAATGGGGGCGACGGACCTGCTCGGAGCGAAATAGGGGGAAAAGACCATGACGGTTGATTGCGTCATCATTTTGGAATGAGCGCTGCGCAGACGAGCTCGATAGAAATGTGTTTTTTGTACAATGTCGATTTCGTCAATGATGGGCACCACGTGTACGATTGTCTCAAAAGGTAAAAGAAGGGAGAAGCTGTGACCTTAGACTTGCAGTATTTAGCAATACACGACACAAAACTGCGCAACGAACACGAGGCCTTATGCGATGGACATGAAGTCGGTCATTGTTCGGTGGGTACTTGTTAAGTAGTTAGGACACTGTTGCGTTTGCAATGGAGAACAGACATTGTCAACATCACCGGAAGCTCGTGCCCAACCACGCATAGGAATGAAGTGCAAGCCACGATCTTTTCCCTCTGTTGGCACATTCTGCCGGACGTTATTGTTGTTCGTTGTGCTACGAGTATATCAGTACGAATGTCGATGTCGTAATGTGCTGGGCTTCCACACGCTATGTGATACCGGCGACAGAAGGCTATGCGTCCAGTGCATCTCATGACGATACCACCAGTGCGTTCTTTGATACTTTGTTGTTCGGAGCTCCCAGAAGAGCGACCTTTACGCTTCAACAAAGCTCACAGATCTTTTCACGGATAATGTGATCAGAGGTTTGCTCGAAAGTTGTACGAAAGAAGATGTGGTTGTACTTGTGGAGGTACGGTGCAAGACGCGCCGCGTGCTTCCAGTTACTCATGACCGAGACTAGTACAACACACAGAAGTGCATGTCCAGACAGACTTCTTCTAGTGACCTCACAATGTCACGGTCTAGACTGACGTGCGAGAATCTGCGCCTCGAGGTGTATTCGCACGAATGTGATGCATTCGCGTGTATACGCTTCGTGCAAGACTGCCCAAATACTTATCGTCGTCTCTCCATCGTTGAAATGTGGTCTTCCAATGTAAGGAATTCCTCACGTAAGGGATAGCCGTATGGGTTGAGTCAGGAGACGTACTTCGTCACATCAATTTCTTGTATCTCGCGAGTTGTGACGCGTTAGAGTATCAAAGCACTGTTTATTAGCCGACTTGACGTGACGTATCTTGACTGCAGTTCAAAAGGACGTCCATCGGGCGCTATTGTACATCTTGTCTCCTTCGGTGCGCATGGGCTCACACAAATGGAGAGTGAGAGGTTTTTGTATTTGCTTGCAGTCGTTCATGTTTGGTAAACGTCGAGATTGTGCATGTAATGGGGCACAATTCTTACCACATCACTGGTAAGCCCTTGAACCAAACCAGTACAAGGGTGTGCGCTCTCAAAACCTCACGTACACCGTACGTGCAGAGGAAGTGAAGAATCTGAGCAAGAGTTGCTCAGAAGGGAAGAACATAAGTAGAGCTGTATATTTAGTCTAGTTGAGCCACAGTAGTCAACCTCCTTAAGTTTTCTTACACTGTATCAAACGGCAAACTTCCAATGCAGAATCTCACTCACTACCCAGTGGGCGGATGTAGGACCGATTAGTGGTTTAGTTGGTTGATTTTATGGCATATATACATCAACCAATTCGGAAGCAGCGCGGACTAAAACTTCTAAATGTGCTATTTCAACCATGTTGACTTGCATGTAACAGTGTCAAACTTTGTGATCATATTCACGTTGACCCCACTCGTGGCCAATGACATGTGACAGGTTCACCCCATCTCGCGTGTGGTACGTTTCTCAAGGCGGAAGCGACAAGTTGGTGTACCTGACGATAATGTACATCTGAGCATACCTGAATAAGGCTCTTGCAACATGTGTATAAATACACCTTCCACGCCGAGTTCGATGGAAGTGACGTCGATGTACACGTCAGCTTCAACAACATTTTGAAAGCTTAGGTTAGTGTTGATGTGCCTGGCAGTAGCACACTCGTATACGGAAGTGGACTTGGAGATGTCAACACGAGACATCATCAGCCATAATGATGAGGCGAGGTGCAATCATCGTGATGATACAAGGTACAGTCATCATGATGAGGCGAGGCATCACTCAGGCTCAAGATTGCTGAGGACAATTAGGATGAGGCCATGCGACTAATAACACTGACCATGTATTGCATGTTTAAGAAGTAGGTAGGTAGCTTTTGTTTGTTGTCAAGGTCTCATCAATGACTTTCCAGTTTGCTGTCTCAAGCACAGGCTCCCTCCCCGCAGTTTCTACTTCGCATCATTTGTTGTGGCGACTTCCTCCTTCTTTTTCCAGCAGAGGTGACATTGCAACAAGTGATTATTGATGGAGTTCAAATCGTACCGTCAGGCCGTGAGCAGCAGTCAGTAGCGCAGCTGTGCTCGCACTTTGGAGCGTGGCGTGTCACCCGATGGCTCGAAGAGATTCGGACAGCACGACAATCTGTCCACCGACCACGCTGACCTCATCTACGAACAAGTTGTTCACCTCCTTCCACTAGAACGTCGTCTTGCCGGTCGATGCCTGGGACGTCAGTTCTTTTGAGCTGAACTCGGCCTGAGGGCGCTACGACGGTGAAATCTATCGTCCCTTGTACAACGAGCTGCTGATGAGCCACTGAAGACAGTGCAAGTTCCTGAGGGCTACGGAAAGTACTCGAAGCTGCTTTTACAATCCAACGTGCACTTGCGTATTGCGAAACGACAAAGTTTGCGTGAAGACGGACTCGAAAGTGCAGAAAACAGTTCGTTACCAGTACCAGTAGCAGCTATTGCTGGTCGACCAAAAGCCGTTCTCGCGACTGTAGTGTCAAAGCTGTAGCACCGGTTCGATCTGATCGCAAACTCACAGTCTGTGACAAAACCATTATGCAACGCAACAAGACGCAGACTTTGTGCTCATCGTAACACGCACATGCCAGACTAAATTGTATGTGGACAGGAGCATGTAAAGCTGCAACCTTATTTGTGGCAATCTGCTCGACTGTGAGTTGTGAGTTGCGTGATCCGACTAAGCTTAGAGTCTGGACTGGATGAGAGGTCTCAAGTACTCCTCATAGCCGGCAGTAACCTCCGTCTGGTTCAGTGGCTCGTCCTCGACGCGTTTTACCAGCGCGCGGTAGATATCACCGTCGTAGCCGCCTATGGTCGAGTTCAGCTCGAAGTCACTAAAGTCCCAAGCGTCCGTGAGCAGCACGCAGTTCTTGCGAATGACTGGCAACAGATGAACAACCTGTTGACGTACTAGCTCAGCCTGCTTTGAAGAGAGGTAGTCGTTTTGTCGGAAGTCACCAAGCGACTTGGTGATAAGCCACGCGCCCAAAAGGGAGCACAAGTCAGTAAGACACTGTTTCTCCGGTCCCATCGGTAAACGCTCGACTCCACGCACGAACGAGTCCAGGACCATCAGCTCTGTATGCGCAATAGACACGTGCGTCAATTGAATCATATTGGCATTGCTGTCGTTGTCAGTGGCCTCCATCGATGCATGCAGTGCTTGCAGCGAACGGGTCGCGCGTGCTCGAAAGGCGTCAAGTAGAAGGTCAAAGTTGCCAAAGTCCGCATGAACTTCAGCGTTGCAGCGTCGCTTCCAATCGGCACGAGACTTCACGTTCCCCACGAGCTGTGTGTCAATTGCAGTCGACGGAGCAAGTCCCTTGAGCAGGTACCGCGTATGTTGCTGGACGAGCACGTCCGACGTGCCTTCAAACGTGTTGGCACCTGCAATCTCGGCGAATAAATGCCCAAGATTACTGGATTGAGAGAAGCCGTGTCCCCCACAGAGTCTTCGGCATGTCATGATCCCATCGCCCACTTTGTCAGCGATCCAGGCCTTCAATCCAGACGACACGTTGTGGAGCTCCGCAAGCTTTGCACCAAAGCCGATGTCTCCACGGTCGATGCTCTCTAGCACAGCTTTGTGCATCGCAATCACCGCTGAGCCAGCAAAGTGCGAGGCGTAGGCAATTGCAATCAGCGGAAACAACGCGTGCTGTTGGTTCTGATAGTCGAGCACTTGGACCTCGCGCTCGTGACTGGGTCGATGGCCTTGGACGCGAGCTGCACTGAAGCGAGTGGCGATTGTCGACGCTGCAGCCAGACGCTCTCCCAACGTCGTGATCAAACTTGCACGCACTTGTACCATCGTGAGGTACACAAGTCTGTCGCTTTGGGGCTTTACAAACGAGCCGTCTTCGAGCACCTGAGCATACCGCATCATCATGTTTGCCCGTGGAATGCGAACACTGCGGAACGTGCACTCGCCATTGTCGATGGCATTGAAGCCGAGTTTCGGTCCAATGTCGCGCACCGCTATGCCAGGCAGCACTCTGTGGTCAGCTAACGAGCGGATGGGCACAATGAACGACTGCAGACCCACGTCTCGGTTCGCTAACACGAGTCGAGCAATGACAATCGCATGCGTTGCTGTCTTTGCCAGTCCGCCCGGCCACCACTTGCGACTGGTCATTGTCGGCGAGTTAATGACAAACTCCTGCGTGTTCGCATCGTACGTAGCCACGGTCTCGATCCCTTGTACGTTGGATCCGTGACCTAATTCCGTCTGCGCATACGTACCCAGGATCCGGTAGGCTTTGGCCAGTGGCAGCCACTTGGCCCGTTGTTCGTTCGTTCCTTGGGTCTCAATCGTCGGGATGAACATGTTCCGGTGCAAGTCCAGTGGCACTTGTTCCCCCAATGCATTCAACAAGACCGTCTCGTCCGTGTCCGTAAACTCGCCCCCTTGGAGCAACTGGACCAGGTAGAACGCTTTCCTCAATCCAAAGTTGTATCGCTCCGTGTGATTGCGGTACACCATATTGCGATCGGAAAGCACCGGATGTTGCTCAATCATCTTGACCAGTTCACGGCGTCGAACACTCGCTGCTTGGCCGCCGCGTAGCACAGTCGTGAGCTTTGTAGGATCGATATCGCCATTCGCGCGTTCCTTCTTGAGTAATAGCGGGGCCAGGTCCTTGAGCTCTACGGACATGATGACAGGTTCGATGTAGAGCACCAAATGTGCGCAGGAACTTGAGCACGACAAGGATCGTTCGAATGTGAACGAAACCGAACTGCACTGGACCCGATTCGTGATTGCGCGTCCTGCCGCCACTATGCCGTGATGAGCTTGCGTCATGGACGGACTTTGTGTCTACCGTCGATTGCCTCGCGTTCATACGCTCTTTTAGCGTGGGCAACTGTGGCCCCGTTGGCCACGATTTGCATCGGTACACACACGCTGAGCATTTACAAAAGGATGTAATTGCGTCCCGCCATCTTGGCATGTCAAGTTCCGTCGGAACGATGGACTATATGCCATTGTATCAGCTTTGCCTCCGCCTCTTGGGGTTACCAACGCATCGTTCGCAAAGCTCCCATGCCGTTTGGAACGAGAATGAGCTACAAGTATAGTACAGTACTTGCTTCATGTGCTTTGCGCGATTTCGAATAGATTCACTGTTTTCCATGGATAAGCTGGTTCACAACTGCAACAATGACTTGCGAACAACGCTCTTGGCGAGAGAGACTTATGGACACGTACCACGTAGGTACACTGACAACAACCACTACGTCTTACGCATTGTCACCACCGTCACGAGGCAATGTCAGTTGCCGATAAAACGTTCGCCAGCCATAGGTCTGCAGTCGCACACGAACGCTCCTTGCTACTAGTTGCTGTGTAGTAGTGCTGTGTACTACTGACCTGTGAACATCGCTAAACCGTTTGGACCCGCGTCTTGACGACACCGCTCGAGTCAACGTTATCCTTGATCGATCGGTCTAAGATCTCTCCGCCGTGACGAAGACGTCAAAGCTGCACAAGGACCGGCACGAAGAAAACCGTTTGAGATGGCCAGTGCGGCCATGTCAATTGACCCTCCTGCTTACCATTACAATGACCACAGTCCCCAAGGCGGTGTTCCGCTAGCGATTGGTGATTGTGCCATCCATCGGGCGAGTCTTGCCGTTATGACCAGCACCATAGTAGGCGGACCACACGCATACTACAAGTATCCACTGCCTGAGAATCGATTATGAGAAGGCCACAGTGTACATGGTCAACAGAACATACCTAATCTTAAAGCTCCGAAGTGTTTCTGCTCTTTACTTTCCGCCTAGCGCTCTTTCGACCCAGCTTTCTTCTAGTGTAGCGTAAGGAGGTACAAAGTGCAAGCATTATGGGCTCCGTCGTCCCATACGATCTTCTTGTGACAGCTCCCGTCGACTTTGTTCATTCTTTTCCGAAACGATCAGCAGGCTCTGTAGTATCAGACGACGCGAAGCCCTTCGACTGTGGCGTGCGTTTCCTAATCGCGTCTGCGCTGACAACAGTAGTTGCAATGATGTCGCGGTAGTACCGATGATTGCCGCAGTCTCATGGGGTGATACGCGGTATCAACCCACGACTACGGGTGCTGGGACAACACGCCCTGAAGGAACGCAAGGTAGCGCAGGAATGTACCTTACAGAACCAGGGCAAGATCGAAGGCGCATGAAGACCGCGGATGACGGCGGTACGAACGATGCGCGTATCGACACATATGTGTGTATAGGAAGAGAACAAGTAGAAAAAAAGACGCGGCAATGAGCGCCACGTGATGCATTCCCAAACTCACTACGTCAAGCAAAAGCCGAGTTTCACACGTGTTCGTTCGCATTCGCTGCACTGGTAAACCCGAAACTCGCAAAGCACGTGCTCTTCAGTACGTCGGCTCCACATACACAAAGGGTATCACTGTGGAGAGGCGTCGCCCGCCCGCGTCAACCACTTGTCGCTGCTTCCTTCACATCATGTCGACGTCTGCTGTAAACACAAGATAAGGTGTCGCGGTCCGTCAGCGAACCCCGACAGCATTTCGGTGTCGATAAGTGTCTGTTCGGTAAGGATCGCTCGAGAGCTTTTCCACAAGTGGCGGACGTGTTCCAGCAGTCGAAGTGTCGTAGCGGATAGTGCGTTGCCGGAAGCACAAACAACAGAGGAGCAGAGAAAAGGGATCGAAAGAGTTCTTACACCTCAGCCTCTATCCAGTACCCAACATCGGGTTCGGTGGTCCAAACGCTACAAGTGCATCACCAGATACCGTCAAGACGGCGCGACACGCGTTTGCAAAGCACTGTCTATCTTTACAATCAGACAATTTAATTACGAGCACTTCCCACACCCAGAGCGCTTTCAATGTCGCATATAGCCAGTTGGTAATCGCGGGCACCCACGCGTTCTTCACCTTGCTTTGTGTGCAGCCTACTGCACTTCTCGTAGTTGTAGTCACTCGCCATTTTCGCCGGTACCCGCCACTTCGTCGAGATGTGGGTTCACCGTGTTGCGACACTGTCTGTGGTCTGTCTACTATCGTTGCCATTTGCTGTCGCGATTGTCACCAGATCGGGCCTCAATGGCTGGTACAAGTGTTCTGACGTCACGTTTTCCGACGCGGGGAACTCAAGTGGCATGATCGCAGAGTGTGCGGTCTACAGCGCGCCGTTATGCTACCCCGGCATCTGTGAGACTCCAGCGTCAGTGGACTCAACTGTCGACATCTTTGTCAAGAGATTCCCCGCCACGTCTGGAGACCCTGCTACTGCATCGAATGTGTGGCTTCTCCAAGGCGGTCCTGGGGACTCGTCGACCGGATGTACGTTGTTTTTTGCACTTGATCCCTATCTGTTCGTATGATCTGACGTCAAGTATCTCTTGTGTGCTCTCTTGGATGTAGTGGAATCGATCATAAGCTATCTACACTATGAACTTGAAGGACAAGTCAACGTTTACACGATGGACCATCGTGGCACGGGTCGCAGCACGCGTCTGGACTGTGTGGCAGCTCAGGCCGCCACCACTGGCTCTCCGTTTGGCGATCTCTTTGATCTGTCTGAAGTGGATGCATGTGCGCAGGATCTTGAGTACAAATACGGCAACTTGGCTTCATTTTCCATCACGAGTGCTGCCACGGACGTTGCAACCTTCATCGCCAAATTCACGAACGGCAAGAGTACGATTGTGTATGGTACTAGCTATGGGACGGCATTAGTAGAGCGACTCATGCATCTGGAAACCCCGACGGTAGTCGGCTATGTGCTGGACGGTGTTTATACGACCTCGTTAGCGGCAAAGGACAAATTCCCGTATTTTTCGAAGAGCCAAGGTGACTTTGGAGAAGTAGGCGGTGCTTTCCTCGATCTGTGTGTCAACGACGACATCTGCAATCGTCACTTCACGAATACAAGTTTGCGTGCTTCCCTGCAACAGCTCATCAAGAAATTCGACATGGAACCCAACTCGACGTGCGCTCAGCTAGTAAGCACGAAAGGTGCCCAGACCCCTGACCCACCGTCCTTTTCGCTCCGCATTACTCTCGGCTTGTTGATGACCATACGAACCATGCAAGCGGCCATTGCACCAGTCGTCTACAGACTCAGTCACTGCGCGGAAGAAGATGTCATTGTTATGACGCAGTTCCTCACGGTTTTCAAGGCGCTCTTCGAAATGAAACCCCAGGATGAAGCGTATTTATCTACCCTCCTGTACAACTTGATCGTCTTCTCCGAAATGTGGGAGACACCGGCACCGTCTTTTGAAGTGATGAAGAAACGAATGACGGATGCGCCAATGTTCCAAGGTTCGTTCAGGGTGACAACCAAGGAACAGTACGAGGATAATTACCTGTACTGCGCTTTTTCCAAAGAAAAGTATCCGACCTGTGACGAGCTGAAGCTGGGCAGCAATACGACAAGCGCTATCGTCTACGACCACGACCGATACTGGAACACAACATCAGTCATTCCAAGCCGTGCGAGTGTGTTGATACTGAGTAGCAAATTGGATGCCCAGACACCTCACAAGTATGCCGAGGCTCTGTTCGAAGGACTGGTGGGCTCCAACAAAGAATTGGTGACTTTCGAGTATGCTGCTCATGGCCTTCTCCAGTCGACCGAGCTTGCTGAAAAAGACGGGATCATTGAAGTATGTGGAGTGAAGTTGATGGCGTCTTACGTCAAGAATGGTGGGAATCTCAAGAGACTGGACAAGACGTGTGTGGCCGAGATGCCGGCACTGAATCTGACGCTACCGATGGACTTCCTGACAAGATTTTTCGGCACAGAAGATGCGTACGACGGGCGCACGACAAGAGCTAGCACCCCTCCATCTGTGTAGCATCCGATAGCTCCTCCAATGGTTGTTGTTACGACCGCCTTCGAGCAGCCTGTTGCGACCGTAAATGCGTAGTGTGAGACGGTCCATATAGAAAGTGAGCGTGCTCGAGTTTGCAACCAGACATAGCGCAATTGCGCGAACAACGATGAGCCCAACACTCGTCTTATCACCGTGTACAGCTACTGTGATACCACACGAAGGTGGCACAGTAGCAATATCCAATCTTATCAGTTAGATACACACCAAAGGAAGTCGTAAATACGTTGGTCGAAGCATCGTATCGTGTGCATACTATGCTTCGATAAAACTGCCAAGCAGCATCATACACATTGCGCCTCGCTGCGGTACGCCACACACTTCGAGATTTGCGACTTAGCGCGCAGACCATACATCGTGGCCGAGGAAAGGCGCCCTACAACGTACCTGCACTGTCAACGACCGCATCATGCCCAGCGCTGCTGACCCTCCGCCAAAGAGGGACAGCATGTCCGTACTGGGTGGTCCCGTGTCGGGTAGACACGTGGAGACGGGACATGAAAGCGTGGGAGGAGCCGCTCCACCCACGCGGCCCGAAGTTGGTGGGAACGGACCCGGGAGCAGAATTCCAAACGTCGTACTTACGGCGGAAACTCAGCAAATTTCGTTCGCGGCTGCGGTCGGCAAACCCGGCGAACCCCCGGTCCCGGCAATATTCGCCAATCGGATCTCACCGATTTTAGCCAATCGCGACTTGTCGAGTTTCTCCGACCGGAAGTCGATGATTGTAGCCTTTCGGCACTTGACGATGTTAGCCAACCTGGACTCGGCCAATTTCGCCGGGCTGGTTTTGCCGATTTCAGCCGACCTGGTTCGGAGGACTTGTCCGACCCGGGCCCCGACAACTTTCGTCCCTGTCACCCTCATGTACCGCCTGCCTCCAGGCACAACGCATTGCGCACTTCGGACACCCCAACATCAGTCTGGATGGTCGTACCGGCCTATCCAGACATCCCTCTTTAGGTGCTGCGAGGCCTGACGCTACGCTGGACCACAGGCGGTTTAGCTACGTACTGCCACCAGGGAGTGGATGGAGAAGGCGAACAATGACCTGCGTTTGATGATTCCGCTTGAGGAGGAAGCACTCGCGGCATGGATGATGGGTGGTATCATGCTCTCGTCACCCCAGTTTTTTGTTCTGCACGCACCCGCGAGCAACGCGGGTAGTAACGCTTGACTTTTTTGAAGCGTTTATGGAAGGAAAGATTATCGCGATCGTGCGTCTGTACGTCCGCATGCCTCAGTAAATCGCGATGAAAATATTGCTTTTTCAACGCGTGTAACGCAGCAAGGGGGCGACGGAACCCGATGTCCTAAGTCGGGGACTGGTCACGGATGCCAAGCGCAACGGTTACGACGCAGACATTAGATGTCTGATCCTCATCATGCCGGATCAAGCGGCTGCAGCGAACTGGCAGGCGAAGTCAATTCTGTTTCGCGGAAAGCGTGTTCCGCTCTACTGCCCTGCTACTCTGGAGTGCGAAGACATAACTTCCTTCTCCTTGCCTGCCACGTCATCCAGTAGCAATCTATTGCACTATCAAGTTGTTGTTCTTGTCAATGGAGTGGCGGCCAGCACGGCTCATGCTATTTTGGCATCAAGTGTGTCATGTGTGGTTACATCCGTGACTCGTGGGTGCTTACACGGCTCGGAGGCATATGGTTCGAACTTTTTCGTGGCGACTTTCAACTCGGTTTCCTGTCCCGACCAACTCAACTTTGTCTCTAACATCTCACCTTCCGAAACGGCGATTTTTCTCCACCGTTTTTAACAGTTCCAAAGCGGTTCATTTTATAACTGCTACTCGCCTTATCATTCGAGCACCAAGTGCGGGGTCCGAACAGAGACCTTTCAAGCTGAGTACCACCGCAAATTCACAGGTGTACCGACTGCACCTCAACCAGACAGTGGGTTGACGCTCAACCATTCGGATATTGCAGGACGCCTGCAGCATGTCTCGGAATTGGCGGATACCCTGGCTACCTACACGGCGCAGTTGAAAGTAGATGGTGACAAGACCCCGTTGTTGACTAAGGCTTCTCAGGAACCTAACTGGAACAGGCAATCGGAGAAAGTCCGGTGTCTCCTTCTGCTGGAGGACCAGCAGCAAGCCTCGGTGCTTCTCGCACCAATGGTCCGTATACGAACGAGTGGGTTGACCCTGTCTTAAACAGGAAAAAAGAAGAGATTGCGTACCACGGGGGCTCCATCTCTTCGATCAAGTACTCCTGCAATGCTGTAGCAACGTCCTCAGCAGGCACACGCTCCTGACGGATCCAGCGCGTTGCCTCAATATAATTTAACATCCCTCTCCAAGTACAGCTCAACGACCACGGTCACAGGAACTAAGAAATCGCCCGAGCTGAACCGAATTTTGATCGAACGAAATGAAAACCTGCCACAGTCCAACATCTGCCACCATCCTCGGCTTCATCCAAGTCGACAAAACAGCGCATGCAGGCGGAGCAGGAATCGAATCAACTTCTTAGTGGTGATACCACAGTCGATGAGGCAGCTCCAGCGCCGAGCACTGAGACTGCTTCCACGCGGCCGGCTGAATTACCGAAGGAGAACACGCTGGCAGTGACTCGCTCACAAGTGGAGACCGCACAATGAGCACTTGAGGTACTCACTTCCATAGCCTCGGACAAGAAGCATGCTACCGAAACAAAGAAAGCTTGCTATTTCACAGCTCATGCTTATGCACTTAAAGTGGCTATTTTAAATGAAGTACTGGACATGGGACGTCTAGTACTCTTGACGACTACAATGAGACCTTGCTGAGGATGGAGTTCGAAAACCGCACCGCAGGGGTGGCGGCTACTCGAGCAGTGGACGAGACAACGAACGCAACGAACACAATCAAATCATTGACACGCCGTTTGGCAAAGATTACAGCGACAACGCAGCCCTTGAGAGAAGCCAGGGTACCGCGATCTTTTTCCCCGCCAGGTGAGATGCCTTCTGATCTGGAAAATTATCTAGGGAGCGAAGCTGGTTGACGATTCAGCGCATGATATCTTCTTATATTCGCCGCCAAACGGGTAGCCTCAAGCGATACGTCAGCGCCTTCACCTAGGGCGGTGCCGACTGCAACAGCGCCTACCGATTCGGCAATTTCGTAAATCCTACCGACATGCCCCGCGCATACGGCCGGGCACCGAACACCAGATATTGATATTACTATGTCAAAAAGCTCTAAAAGGTTTGGGAACATCATATGCATAAATGATCTGGCTGGAGGATCGGTCACTCCACCACCTTGCGCCGCTAGTGTTCTACTTCCTGCGAAGCAATCCAAGGCCATTCAACAAGAGCTCAAGCTCTCGTCCGGCATCAGATAAGGTTTTGATACGGTTACATACAGTTCAGTTCCTCATCCGACCGCCATCCACATGGAGGCAAGTACCCAGGTATCTGTCTACTCCCGGTAGAACATTTCCGTACTCCAACTGCACACGATCGTACGTTACTAGAAACGAAAGTGCGCAAGGTTCCGGACACTGCATCGGCCGCGGTAGCAGCTGCCGCAGTGCCATAGCGCACGAATAAAATTTCTACGAACACGACACCAATCCGAAAATAGGCCAACGATCATAAAGCAGTGGCTGCGCTACCGGCTACAATGCCGGTTGTTCCAAATGGTGAAACAGCGTGGATACACTGGTGTGCATTGAACCTGGCGACATGGGTCGGTAAACTTCCGTACCCGGTAGCTTACCTCACCTCAATGCAGGGTGATATCTTGCGAGATTTCGTACATGATATTAACAGCGAGTGTCAACTGTCTGTGATCCGACAACACACTACTTACGCAGATGAGAAAGTTCGGGAGCTGTACACGGGATGGGTGGCGACGGATGATGGGCAAACTGGTCAATCTCGATAGGAAGACTACCGACTTCATACAACGATGGAGGAAAAATAGTAAAATGCAGCCTGAGTTGCTGTGTACTACTGTCGTCGAACCGCTCTCGGGGATGGATCATTGGGGCATTCTCAATGCACCAATGACTTAAGTCTGTTTGTGTGTATTACTGCCACACCTCGCGCCCATTGAGGATGATACAAACGTGTTGATGCCGCAGACAAAGGCTGAGCTATACCACCTCTCCATCTAAATGCGTGCGGCAGTCGTTAGTGTCACCATCAAGCCTGCCAACTTGCAACCGGTGATGGACCTTATCGCTCGAGATGGTCATTTGATGGAGTCACTGTGCTGAGGGCATCTCGGATACGATATGGGGTGACTCGTCACGGAGTGCGATTCGCCATCCCTCTCCTTACATTTTCGCAGATCGTTCCCATTCTCGAAACAGGACTGATCTTTCTTTACCTTCACTTCCTAAAACCAGGCCACCACAACGTCGGCGTAAATTCCTGTTGAAGACCTCCCACCAGCCTCTTGAAAAAAGCATCAATATTCATTCGTATAATGTTGCGGGATTTACAAAACAACCAGAACGATGTGCTACCCGGTTTAGTCACTTTCGGCAGCGCAAAGCACGAGGGGCCTATGAGTTGGTCTCTGTACAGGAAAATTGGATCATGCTTGAAGAGGCAGCACATATGGAAAAGTTGTACAGCTCCACGTGGGGATTCGTAAACAATCCCGTACACTACATACGGACAGATTTCGAACATCCCCGTATAATAGTGGCTAAGATATGACACCCCTACTCGTCGGTTACTCACACGGTACCGTTGTCAAGAGGAGCATTGGACACCGCACTCAATAACCGTTCGAATTACTATTCTGATCAAAACAGTTCTGGATGTCAGCGTGTAGGCCCCGACTGCTAAGCATGAAAAAGAAGCACTTATAACCAGCTTAAACCTCTTCTTGTAGGATACGCTGGTGTGGTGAAGTCGATTTCCAAAATTACTTTAGTAAGGGTCGATCTTTCTTTGCTCGGACTTGCCGACTCACTGAGGAGGTACTCCGATCCGTGTCTTGTTGTAT